AAAACATTAATAGAGAGAATAAAAGATGAGTGACCTACAAGGCCCCATTAAGAGCCTGGCAGGCCTCTCCATACAGTGTACTTTTAGACTAACACAACTAACATTTAACTAACACATTAAAAAAAAAGGGAGACTAAATGTGACTATCCTCCCAGCCACACAAGGACCTGGGAGGGCTTGTGGGGTACGGGTTATTGGTTCACACTCAGGATGGGATGGAGAAAGAAAACTCACAATGTGCTCTCTGTATACATATTGTATTGGATGTACAATGCAGCTTGGTGCTGGGAAGGCAGCATGGTTACAAGCGTTGAGTAGAGAGAGCTGGTTGGTGAGGGTGCCCAGAGGAGGACCAGCTTGTGGGTCGCCATGGTCGCGGGAGCGAGGGCCGCCAGGCAGGAGTGGAGGAGGAGGAGGTGTTGCTTGAATACTGGCTGTAGGTAGAAAGAGAGGTCACCACGAGGTGTGGGTCGCCATGGTCGCCGGCTGGAGCGAGGGCCGCCAGGCAGGAGTGGAGGAGGAGGTGTTACTTGAAGACTGGTTGTAGGTAGAAAGAGGTAGGTCACCACGAGGTCAGGTCTTATATAGCGGGGGTAGGCGTGGCTTAATAGTTGACCTCAGTAGTGTAAGGCGGCGCTGTTTGCTTACCTAGACCACGAGGCATACACTGGGGAATTCGCGGTGTCGGCTACTCAGCGACAAAAGCGTTTGTGGGGGAGGAATCCACTACAGGCTCACTAACTCCATCACAGTAGAAAAAAAACTAAGTAAAAAGTATAATAAGTAGCACTATATAAATAAACCAATACTGTACTAATACAAAGGTCTGACGACCCAAGGGAGCAAAACAGAGATAAGAAACAATAGAACAGATAAAGCGATCTGGTTGAGCCCAGATTCTTTCTACTCCTACTGTATTTCAGTTTCACCACTTTTCTTCAATCCCTAATAATATTCTTTCACCTCATAATTCATGACTCCAAAGCCAAAGATACTTTTTCACGCAGAGGGTGGTAGACCCATTTAAAGGTCTACCATCCCAAACTGTGGAATCAAAAACAGTAATGGGCTTCAAAATAACCCTTGACAAAATTATCAAGAACAATATGGGGGGGAGGGGTCACAGGCCGCTAACTTCCTTCCCTAGGTAAATACACGCAAACGTGGGCTCTGCATCAGCACTATAATAGATGGGGGAAGGTAAAGTCAATGACACATAGCAGCTTGTACAGCTCTTGAAATGCAATCTGGTGATTATGCAGTAGCCTTGCAAGCTCCAATAAAGTTTAAAATTTCTTGTGTTCTTTGTCTTCATATCGAGTTTTCACACGAACTGCAAGCCGAGCTTCAGCTTTCATACAGTGTCACACTTGGAATGTTTAGCAAATGGATTCAACACAGACATGCTTAGTCTGTGCATCCATTTGCCTGTGATCCGTGATCCGTGTCCCCGTACGCATCCGTGTCAGTGAAAAATCGAGTATATGAGAAAAGGTTGAGAAGCATCCATTGATCAGTTCCGTGTCCGTATCCGTGAGGGATCGCGCAGTGAGCGATTTTTCACGGACGCGTATGGAACACGGAAGCTGTTGTGGGGGCTTCGTGACCTACGTAAACTCACGAGACCTATTTTATAATTAGTTTTCCATAACATCCACCATGCCCAAACGCAAGGATTCCAATAGACTGACCAACCAAAAAGTTTGTGAGGCCTTGGTAGAACTGGTCAGACAAAATCCGGGCATTTATGATGCCAGGTCTCCCCAACACAGGGACCCCATATTCGTTGCCAACATAAAAGAAACAAAAGAAAATAAGGAGTCTGCAATAGGCCGGTTGGCCTGTGATTGGCAGCTCCTGTCGAGAGTTACAACCACTCTCTATCAATCATGAATCCATCTAGCATTCCTTTAAAACTTTTCAGCGTTCCAGCACTTACTTCAAAGTTGCTAAGCTTGTTCCACTCGTCCACCACCCTATTTGTAAACCAGTTCTTTCCTATCTCCCTCCTAAACCTAAACTTATCCAACTTAAATCCGTTGCTACGACTCCTATCCTGCTCGGATATTATAAGAACTTTATCTGTCTCCTTTATTGATTCCTTTCACCCACATAAATACTTCTATCATATCTCCCCGCACTCTTCGTCTTTCTAGGGAATGTGAGTTTAGTTTCTTTAACCTATCTTGATATGGAAGGTGTCTAAGTCCCGGAATCATTTTCGTCATTCTTCGCTGCACCGACCCCTGCGAATTGATATCCATTCTATAATAAGGGCACCAGAACTGAACCGCATAATAATCGAGGTGCGGCCTCACTAGCGCAATAGGTCCATCTCCATGGCGTTGAAAATTTCTGGTATACCAGGTATGTATGTATGTACAGTATTTATGTGTAGTACACCGGTATTGTATTAATCAATTGTAAATATATATACTAGGTATGCTAGAGACTAATTATTATTGCAGACCAAATATCCGTTGCCAATTTCCTAAATTTGAACTCTTCAAGCAACAGTGCAGAAGCAACTGGTTTCAAATATATTTCATAACTTATATCAGCATATTTTGGAGCCAACATATACTTGGAATGTTCATATAAGGAACTCTTTTTGTCATTAAATTGGAACTTAAAAAACTAAACTTGTGAGCATTCCTATCTGAGGGAATGAATGTTAAGCCTTTCAATATATTAGCCCAGACTTCATCTATTTCAGAGATAATTTTTGGGCAAATATAATGCCAAGAAATTGTAGTTGTCACCTTCTAAAAGCAATGAATGATGACCCACAGTTGCTTGGCCTTCCTGTCTCTTTGTAAGTGCTGAGAGATCAGGAAAACAGTTGATTGAAAATATCCAGAGGGCCACCAGACTGGTGCCTGCACTTCGGCACCTCAGCTACCCAGAGAGACGAGAGCACCTACAACTGCCTAGCATACACTACAGACGGGCAAGGGGTGACCTAAACGAGGTGTATAAACATCTCAAAGGGCACTACTCAGTCGAGTGTCCACAGACTCCACACCTGGAGCTGGCGGGCGCTCGCCCCACAAGGGGTCACAGCTCATGGTTGAAGAAGCCACAAATCCAGAAAACTGTGGGGCGAACCTTTTCGGAGAGAGAATAGTGAACTCTTGGAACAACCTGCCAGAGAGTGTTGTGACGGCGCCGAGTGTGAGCTGTTTCAAGACCAGACTTGACTAACACTGGAGCAGGTTCAGGTACATTCAGGAGCCAGAGCATGCCCAGTACTTGCCAACAGCGCGTAACAGAGACGTAACCGATCGCCTAATCGGCTAATGAGCCGATCAGTGGTGAAGATAAAAAAAAAGTAAAGTATAATATTATGAAATGCAAGAGTAACACATTACACATGAACTACCAAGCTAGTCCTTAATGTGCTATCGCACACTTGGTGTGGTCACACAATTATCTTGTAGGCGATTTCAAGAATTCCCAGCTTAATCCGAAAAAAGTTAGCCCTGACATCCATAAATCTAGGATTTCTCAGAGGTGGAGGGGGCAGCTGTATATCCTGCCGGTAATAACGACCAATGATAAAGAAAAAGGCTGAATGATATTTAAAGCCACGGTAATATTTAATTATCTGGCTTGATAACCGCTTGGGCGGTCGGTCAGAACACACACACACACATATATCCCTAGCCCGAGAATTGCTGTTCGACACCACAACCGCATCCAGCCCATACGTGCACGAACTGATCGCTATAAGAACAGCCCAGTCCCAACCATTGTAAATATTATCAATAACTTGTAATAAACCAGTGTATTCACTCCCAGTAAACACTACTCCTTGCACTGTCACTATGTTGAAATGAACTGTAGTTTGAGCTTTTCCCCATCTAGTTATTATATATCTTATTTGTATCACTTGTGTTACTTGTATATTATTTGTAATTCGAAACCCATTCCCCAAATGTGTAACTGTATATTTTCAGCCTTCTGGCTGCCAAGCTCTTTCAATAAACCGTTAATTATTATTATTATTATTATTTATATTGTGGGGTTTTTGGGATTGTTTGTTTCACACTCAGGATGGGATGGAGAAAGGAAACTCACGATGTGCTCTCATGTATACATGTTGTATTGGGTGTACAATGCAGCTTGTTGCTGGGAAGGCAGCATGGTTACAAGCGTGATGTAGAGAGAGCTGGTTGGTGAGGGTGCTCAGAGGAGGACCAGCCTGTGGGTCGCCATGCTCGCCAGCGGGAGTGAGGACCGCCAGGCAGGCGGAGGAGGAGCGAGGGTCGCCAGGCAGCGGCGGAAGAGGTCAGGTCTTAAATAGCGGGGGTTAGGCGTGGCTTAGTAGTTGACCACCGCTCCGTGGTGTATGGCGGTGCTGGTTGACCTAGACCACGAGGCATACACTGGGGAATTGGTGGGGTCGGCTAGGCAGCGACAAACAGCGTTTGTAGGGGAGAAATCCACTACAATATATATATATATATATATATATATATATATATATATATATATATATATATATATATATATATATATATATATATATATATATATATTGCATGAATACTTATTTACAACCATGTTATCAGGAAAGATCCTTGTATGTTATTTTCAACGCTTCATACAAATTATCAAATCCTTGAATCACGTATTCGAATTTGAGCTTCCGATACTTCAAAGGTTGAATGGAGCCTCAAACCTTAGGTCTGCCTCGCCTATGTCAAAACATGATAATTCACTTGAACAAATAATATATTGCTTTATTTTTTTTTTAAGTTTTTGATAGTATTGTTGACACGAATAGAGAATAATGAAAATAATTGATAAAGCCAAATTCTTAAGGCAACATATCTTAAACTTTTAGGAAATCTTGCTTTCGGGATAAATATAATAAAGTAACATACATAAAAAATAACAGATAATTTAAGGATGAAAAAAGAAGTTAAATATATATATTATGACAAAAAAAATGATCTGATAAGAACCATCGACTACCTTGGTAATGGGGAGTGTGGGACCTGTTTGAAGGACGCGCGGGAGCTAAAGGCGGGCTCACCAGTCTCAACTAATGATAATAGTCCTACTGGCATTCGGTATTATCAAATTGGACGGGCAGGAAGAACACCTACGACTAGAATTATTCCATTGATGCTACTCACTAGACTGCTTCTTTCCGGTAAATGAACTTTTAGGTTTGATGCCGTTGTAGAATGGGACTAATGACAATAGCTGTTTCATGCACTAAATTGCCTGGAATTTTGTTTATACTAGACTTGTGCACCTATTTAAAGAAGGATTTGGGTGAATAAGACTATGCGGTGGAGTTCTTGATTATACCCAACTAGTATATCTGAGTTTGACTTGTATGGATGTATTGCAGTGCGATATTGACTTGGGTTCACTGCCCTCTTAGGTTGGACATAACAAGCTTGTTTAGTTTGACCTTGGGCAAAATCACAGGTTTGCTTCAGGTACTGCAGTGACCTGTACCGTCAGTGGGTCCAGGGGTGATGGCACTCACTTGGCCTCAAGGGAAACCAGTTAGACATAACTATTGTGCTGTCTTGTATGATTACATCAATTAAAAAAAAGGTCAATTTTCACTAATGCACCAGTCTTTGTTTGGGTATTAAAAATATGTTTTTCCGATGTTATTTGATGAGTTTCGAACTAACTAACCTAACATAACCTTAACCTAACATAACCTAACCTTAACCTAACATAACCTAACCTTAACCTAACCTTAACCTAACATAACTTAACCTAACCTTAACCTAACATAACCTAACCTTAACCTAACATAACCTAACCTTAACCTAACATAACCTAACCTTAACCTAACATAACCTAACCTTAACCTAACATAACCTAACCTTAACCTAACCTAACATAACCTAACCTTAACCTAACATAACCTAACCTTAACCTAACATAACCTAACCTTAACCTAACATAACCTAACCTTCACATAAGGCCGCCTCATTACCGCCAAGAAGACAAAGTAGTGATTAGGTGCCTAAATATCTACCAAATGAAGCATTTACACAAGAAATGATTATCATATCAGAACTCACTGATAACTCGTCAGCAGGTGAGTCGACAATATTAATCATCGTTTTTATTCCAAAAGGTATTTTGGGCTTTTAATCATTATCACTAGGATTTTTAGTACAATTATCATTTCGGTCATTCAGCAAATTTTAGGATTTTAAGTTTGGCTAATCGTCCAATACTGGTGTACAATGTGAGAACTCTTTGACCGTGTCTGGTCTGGTGGCATGTAGCATTTATTTCACCGTGAGTCAATCGTTGTGTAGCTGTAAATATATCTAAACATATTTCTGTTGTGCATAGAAACTTATCATTATAAGAGGCAACATTTACTAGAATCTAATAGAACTGACCTAACCAACCAAAGAACCCTACCTAACCTTAACTAACTTCCTATAAAACAGAAAGTACTTAGGCAATCAGAGTGCACTCACGGTAAAATAGTGCTAGTAGGAACTTAGCCGGTCACGACAAAATATCCACTACATTTAAGTTATGGAATCAGTACTTTAGACAGTTTTAAGACACTTCTTCTGTAGCATTTCATCCGTTCATGATTACTTTCCATGAAAGTCGCAATAAAGTGTTGGAAAATCGTCATATTTTTTGTAAGTTTTTGTCGGAAGTTGAAATTATGTTTTTCTGATGGTTTATGGTTTGTTTTGGATGATTCTGACCTTCATTTCTACTGCAAATCACTACATTTTGAGCTAACCTCTCCCTTATCCAATGATAATAGGGGACCCCCAGTGGGAACCAGGGGTTTTGTGTTAGGGAAAATCACAAAAATAGTAATTTGCAATAGAAATGAGATCAGAATCATCCAAAACCTAACCCGACCCAACCCATCCTAACCTAACCTCCACTGCACTAGCATCAGTAGCACTTGATGGGCTCTTGGAAGTCATTTTGAATGGTTATAGTACAGTTTTAGAGCAAAAACACTTAAGCACACACGAATGATGTGAAGTCGTAACAGAGACTGGCTTGGCGTCGCTTGGGGACGCTGTGACATTCCGCGAGTGAGGGCAGCGCTCCGAGCCAAGAGAGTGTAGCGAGGCCAGGCAAGAGTGGGTGATGCACCGTAGAAAGTAGTTCGTTACGACGCAAAATGGCGTAGTGTCGGATCCCCGGGACGTTAAACGAATTTTTGGTCTCTAAAGTTTAGCGACATAGTACCGAAACAATGTTAAGCGGGACGACGCTATACGAGAATGCACTGTACTTGTACTTAGAACTCAAGGATATAAGTGCTGTACAGTATTGGGTTTCAGTTACATAATATCTTTTCAAACATTATTTTCTGTTTCAGGCAAATTTGTGGCGACTGTTTGATGGCACCAATGATCCCTGACTGTGGGGTCTTATCGACCCCTCGCAGATATTCACCCTTGAAATTATGTGAAGGGGGCTTGCAGGCTGCACCTCATCTAGCCAGTTTAACTCACAGGTCACCAAAGCATGCTAATTTTGCTTCTGCAACTCCACCAAGACCTTCAGAAATAACTGGGGTAACCCTAAGTTCAGGTAATAATATTTTTGCTATTTGTACAGTATTATGGTGCTAGTTCTATGTGATCCATGAATATGCACACCAGCACTTGTCAGGATTTTCCTAGTAAAACCTCAGGTCTTGGAAACTGGTGGTAATCCAAATATCACTTACACGCACATGGAAAGAGTAGGACTCATATTTACATACGTTGTCACAGTTTGATTGCTCGTTTTAAAGTGGCGACTGCGTGGTCGCTTGTTGTCACTGTGCAGCTGTGGCATTCACGCATGCGCACGTACACACAAAAGCCCGCTAAATTTATAAAAAAAATAGTTTTCGAAAAGTCCGGATTCTCGGGTGGTCTGTATTTCTGGCATCCAGATTTTTGGACTTTTACTGTAATTGTATGTGCCTTGGTTAAGGACGTTCAGGTGATGGGCAAGTCGAAACCCTCCTTTTGACACATTCAATATTTATTGATGTGGTCAAATCCTGCAGAGGAGAAGGCATTTATAATATTACATGGTGATCTATCTGATACATAATTAGTTAGTCTCACACAATTTTATCTTAATTACTATTTATTAAACATAGTGACATAACACAAAGTTCATAACTATTAATCGTAGCTTCACTTCTTTCTGCATTGTCTTATGACTCCAGATAAGGCAGAAACAAGTAGGTGTAATTAATCAACAATGTTTCAGTACTGAGGGGTATGTCATCACTTAGGCTGTACTTACAAGTGCGGGTCAATGCAGATCAGTATGGTGCTCCAAGAGACAACAGTACTGTGTAAATTGTCCCAGCACAAATTCTCGGACAGTCGGTGTTCACCAGTGTGAGCAGAGGGCTGGTCTTCACAGCATCACTAGCGAGGGCGATCTGTCTCATGGCAGGGCGGGCAGCACCGCTACCCGCCGAAGACAGTCCACTCAGCAGAACCAGGACTTGTCTGTAAATACTTATACATCTGGCGAGGTCACAGGTCGAAAAATTTAATCGCAACACATGCCAGCACTGTAGCTGAAGCCAGCGGCGATAGCATAATATTGTGGAAGTTATACCTGCGCTTAAATCGTTGAAACCATCCTCAGCTGGCCGTAAAGGTCTCTTCCTTCGATCCTTCACCCTCTTCTGCCTTTAAGTCGTCAAACAAGGATCTGGCCTTATGCTGGATAACCATAAGGCTTACAGTGGCATTATGTTGATTCTGGTCCTCCATCCACATTGCCAGCATCTTTTCTATCACAGTGCTTCTAGTACGAGTTGTCTTAGTTGCAAGAGAAGAACCACTTCCAGCGCTAACCGTAATCTTATCAGCATTGGTCCGGATGGTACTCACTGTTGTGGGGGTTAGATCAAGCACAACGGCAATGTCCACAGCACGTTTCCCTTTTTCAAACCGGCTAATACGTCCATTTTCGTAGCAAGGGTAATGGTCTTACGTTGCCTCTTCACTCCACTAGCATCAGTAGCACTTGGTGGGTGCTTGGAAGTCATTTTGAATGGTTAGAATACAGTTTTAGAGCAAAAGCACTTGGGTACAAACGAATGAAGTGAAGTCATAACAGACTGTCTTGGAGTCGCTTTGGGATGCTGTGATGTTCCGCGAGTGAGGGCAGCGCGGCGAGCCGAGAGAGAGTAGCGAGGCCAGACAAGGGTGTTGCGCCGTAGAAAGTAGTCCGTGACGACGCAAAATGACGTAAGATCGGATCATCCGGACGTTAAACGAATTTTTGGTCTCTAAAGTTTAGCGACGTACACTAGTACCGAAACAATGTAAAGCGGACCGACGTTATACGGGGACTTACTGTATTACATCACAATTACCAACATCCTTCATGTTGGGTTGGCTAGATGGCTATAAAAGAAATTTTGTAAGTTTGATCTGTAATAATAATAAACAGTTTATTAATAGAGTTACAGCCGGTGGCTGAAAATATACAGACTTACATTTGATTTAGACATAATGATATAATATGCATTGAATACATTTACAGGGCTGTTCAGTACATAAATCAGGAGTTGTTTATTATTTTACAATAGATGGGATGGTGCTGTTCTTATATCTATCGGTGCGGGCTCTTATGGGCTGAATTTTGTTGTAGTGGCGGACTGCACGAGTTGGGTGGGGGGCTGCAGGAGGTGGCAATGACGAGGGTGGTGCGGTAGTCCACTGCCAAACCTTTCCAGTGCTTGGTGGTGGAGGTCACTGAGGGATGGCATTTCCAGGCTGGAACTCAGATGCCATTCGTTCTAGAGACAGTAACTTTTATGAGAAAAAAATTGCCGTATGGCAACCTAACTTTAATAACAAAGCATGAGTTGACTTGAAGGTAGACTCACATTTTTTTTCCACATTTCTTACATTTTGTTGTTTCTGTTTATTTGTGAGAGGATTTCCCATTATTATTTATTTACGTGTGTGTGGCTACACACACATATACAGTACAGGTAAAAGAAATAATTGTCCTAAGGGCAAACACACAAAGGGAATATGCATTTCTTTGCAGATGAGTACAAATGTACCCCCCTTCCCCCACCCACCCCACCCCATCAGCAAATGATATTCACAGTTTTGGCTATTCGTGGCCATTTTGAGACTCAAACCTTAGTGTGTTTTAAGGGCATGTTGAATTTTGACAAACTTTAAAGTATTTTTCTTCTGTTGCATCCATCCTTCATGAGAGCTTCTTGTACATGATACTGAACAGAGATTTAATAAGTAATATTGCAAGTATTGGTATAAAATTCTCAAACAAGATAAGAAAATCTCCCACTGTTAAACTTTCAGAACATACATGATGGAATTTAAATTTGAAAAAATAATTTCTATCAATGTGTATGTGTAGATTACTTAAAATGTTTTGTGTCTTACAGGATTCAACTTTGGGTTTTACAAGTCTCCAAAGAGCACTGTGGTTCCATATCACAAGGCTGAGCCCCTGCCTGTCTGTAAGAAAATCAAACGACCCAGAGATGGCATAAATAAAGGTGTTGGCCACAGTATCAAGAAGCCAAAGCTCAAACCAAGGGAGAAGATAAAGGTGAGGAGAAACAAAAAGTATTATTGGAATAGTGATGAAATTTTTTTTAATCCATGACCTCTGGATGATTTGATGTCTTGACAAAAGTGCTTTTTGTGTGTGGCTGAGGCCCAACTCAGGTGAGACATCAAATTCCTATTTCCATTGTACCATGAGTCACACACATCTACACTCTCCTAATTAATGTACACATATAGTTTAATACCCTGCTGAGACATGAGTAGTACAGTAAAGCCTTGAATAACGACAGTAATGTGTCTTCCAATATTGCAGTGTAAGGTGAATCATCGTATTGCAAATCATTAATTACCATTAAAATAAAGCAAAAATAATGAGATGCATTCCCATGTGTGACCTTTTCATATCTTTTGTGTGGCTTTTTACCCTCTTTTCCCCCCAAAACAATAAAATTAATGAAAATTGCAAACTATATTCTTTAAATAATGTTTCTGAATGCACTTTATACAATATAAATGAATAATAATATGGTCACACAAGAGGAGATGGGACGCCATTGTTTTCGTTTTTGTTTACAGCTGGGAGTCCGGGACGATAGTTCTACATGAGAAAATTAAGAAAATAAGACCCTGGTTGTAGCTGTAGTAAAATTAATATATATGTTTTAAGTAATGTTATTCAGTGTTAATAAATGGAACAATAGAAGTATCTAACCACTAATGGTAAAGAAAAAAAGTGAGATGGATTGGGAGCACCAACATATACGTGCACATTTAAGGATACCGCGTCATTTATCTTTTTAAGAATATGCACAAAAGATTCATTATTGTTTATTACTGAATATGTATTTGATTGAATTAATGTTTATATATGTGAAATGAACATTACAATTAATTAATAATACGTAGAATATTGAAACACACAAGAGGATACGAGACGGCATTGTTTTCGTGAGTGACTATGGTTCTACATAAGAAACTGAAGAGAATATGACCCTGGTTGTAGCTGTAGTGAACTTAATGTAAACAAAAATTGAATACCTGTATGTATGTTTTAAGTAATGTTATTTAATGTTAATAAATGGAACAATAGAAGTAGCTAACCATTAATGGTAAAGAAAAAAAGTGAGTGCGCAACGCCAACATATGTAAGTGCGTACATGTGAAAACATATCGTCATTTCTCTACATATGAATATGAAAGAAACACTTATTTACTGTTCATATATGTTTTAAATAATACTTACGAATGTAAAGCAAAAATTCTACTCACCAATGGTGGTAAAGTCTAAAACATAAGGACAGCCAATGATGATGTGCGAGTTTTAACTCGGATGACGAAGTCATCAGGTTCAACTCTGGCTGAAGCTGTAGCTTTCCATAAAGATATCATAGCTGTTGCTGAAACTGTTACTGAACCTGAAGTTGATGATTTAGGCCATATAATAATAAAGCTGTCGAAAGAACCTTGCACAGCTGCTTTCTTTTCTCATTATACATCTTTATGTAGAGGTCATTTGCATTTATTTAAATTTTAATGCTTTGTTCTGTTAATGGATCCACTCAAGAAAATATGTTTATTGCTTGCTCCATATAATATCCACAGACCTCTCGCCTTTTTCATATTGTTTTAACACATCTAGTTTCTCAGATAAGCTTATACACCTTCTTATAGCTTTTGAACCAGCACTACCACTACTTGCTCTCTTGCTTATGTTGAATAGGGACACAAAAATGCTGTAAGAAACCTGAGAAAGTTTTTCTCCTTTTCCTGTTCAGATGCATGAAAACAAAGGGCCCGCCAGCTGTGACTGTTTGTACTAGTGATGCTGGCGTCACCACTCACAAGCCCGGCAGCCTCCGTGTGCAAGGCTTGTTTTTTTTTATATAATACTGTCGGGATTTAGTTATTATTTATACGAAAATATAATTTATATATTTTTTAATTTCATCTTAAATATGTTGAAAATAATGGTGTAAGTGAATTGGGTCCTAAATTAACCAGGATCTTAGATATGAATCTTCGTTAGTTGAACCGTTGTTATGGGAGGCTTTACTGTATTAAGAGGTCTACAGGGACACTAGACTCACTTTGTGAATATGAATCATGGCAGTCAATTTTAAAACAGTGGAGTGAAAACTGAGTTTTCATGTTGTGCACGTCACAGTCCGACATGTACTGTACTATCATATGATGCACATCACAGTTGAATGGTTAAGTTGGAAAAGTCAAGAAAGTAAAAAAAGATAAAAACAAGAATTTATGCTTTTGCATCACATGATATTACATAAGATTTGCATCTACTGACAGAAAAGGGCCAGTGTCAAGACTGTAGTTAAGAGGTTGAAGGAAGGAAGATATACACCATGTCTGCCATCCAACCGCAGTCCACTGAAGACTCCAACGCCTGGACAGAAAGTGAGTATAGAAGAGCTTTTTACTGAAGCATGTAATTTTTTAAAACAAATTTCATGTTAAAGACTTATTCACTGCAGCGTCCCATGTCATACTTATTCCTACTACAAGTAATATCATTAAGTCACCAAAAATGAAAGTGCTAATTTGAGCTTTTTTTCACTTTTATATTATGAGAATAACATGAAATTTCCATATCTGGCATGAAAATTCCTTTGAAATGTGGGTACCTAGTGGATTTTTTCTATGAAAATTAAAAAAAAAACTAACTCGGGTATTCTGCAGATAAAATGGATGATGTCTTACAACCAAGTTATTCGTCACTGTAAATTCATTTTTTCATGTAAATTATAACCAGGTTTTGAGGTCCAGTATTGGGACAGTATATACAGTACCTCACTTGGAATAATTTTGGGTGAAACAAAACAAAACTGACAATACAATCACATTTATTTCAATAAACATATCAAACTTTCATACATTCACTTATATTGTAAACCATAAATTAGAATTTTATAAACTTCCTTGCAAGGAAGTGGCATAACATCCTAACAATCATATTCCATCTTACACTCATGGCTATGTAAAGCAAAACTAATACAAACACATGCCAGTGGCAGATAAGAAAATTATAAAAATGGTAATTAGGAGTCAGTAAAAATGTGCCTTAGTTACTACACAATACATATTTATTTTCCCACATTCATGCCACCATGGATAATGGGAAGCCGAAAACAGTGGAAGTTTAACAGTTGGTTTTCATACCGGAATAGAACCGATATTAGAGGAATCTTCAGTGTTTCAGAGTTCAGCTAATTGTGGATGTTAGGGCTCTTGCACAAATACTTACAATATCTGAGTAAGGTCTCAAATGAATTATAAAGATTGATTAATTATGATAAATTAAATTTGTGTATAATATTTCCTGAAGATAATGTACTAATGCTTGTCAATCATATGTACAGTCAAAGAAAATATGCTGTGTTACACACCCCATAGCATTTTTTTCTGAAACCCGTGATGAGATACAGTATTTTCTCAATCTAACGAACTAATTCCAGCTAACCGTTAGTTAAATTGATATTTCCGCCAATTGAGCTTTCTGTTATGTCTCGTATTACTGACCTTCTGATGGAATGTCAGGTTACCCTTTCTTGGGTGGGGGATTAGTGGGTCTCATGACCTGAAGATGTCTTGCATGAACACAAAAGCTAAAGTATTTTTAGGTAGATTGTCATAAGTGTAAGTACAGTATTACCCTGCTTTACACGGTTTCACTTTACGCGATTTCTCATTTACGCGGTACCTTGCCAGAACCGGACTTTCACTTCCCGCGGTGCATCTACTCATACGCGGTGAAGTATAATTTTTTTTTTTTTTTTTAGCTCATAAAATTCATACAAATTACCCGGCCAGAATATAATTTACATTGCTGGAATTCTTACAATATGATGATCATTTTGAATATAAACATCATGGATTTTGCATTAGACATACAAATTTTAGATCTAATGTAATAATTTGGTTTACACAAAGCAAATATTTTATCCTTTGTGCAGAATATATGAAGTTTACATTCAAAATATTTCCTGACCTGCAAGGAATCCAGAAATGTCAATTATATTATCCTAACTTTAGTCTGAGTTATTATTTATTACTAAAAATGTAAATATACTATTTTCTCCCAAAGCTTCTCTGGTAGGGAGAGGGGGTGGGGGGAGGAAGGGAGGGACCGACCCAGCTAAGGCGGAGTATTTTGATTGACAGATAGTGTCCTTGACGAATATTTCTTTGTTTATTTACTGAAGATATATGTTTTAGCTCATAAAATTCATACAAATTACCCAGCCAGAATATAATTTACATTGCTGGAATTCTTACAATATGATGATCATTTTGAATATAAACATCATGGATTTTGCATAAGACATACAAATTTTAGATCTAATGTAATAATTTGGTTTACACAAAGCAAATATTTTATCTTTTGTGGAAAATATATGAAGTTTACATTCAAAATATTCCCTGACCTGCAAGGAATCCAGAAATGTCAATTATATTATCCTAACTTTAGTCTGAGGTATTATTTATTACTAAATGTTAAAATCTAGTGTTTTCTCCCAATCATTTCTCAGAGAGGTAGGAGCTAGTGAGCTGGGAAGAGGGGGGAGGATTTGAGTCCATTATTTGAATGGACATTAACCTGGCGACTGTATTTCTCTTAAATATTAATTGTGTGAGCATACCATCATAAAATTTAGATGTTATTTTTACTACAACATAGGTATTGTGTCGGAAAAAGTGGAGTTTGGGGGTCGGGCCAGTCTCTATTGGAATTAATCCCATATGTTCTGTTGTTCACTTTACGCCGTTTTCACTTTACGCGGTACCCTGTGGATTCAATTGATCGTAAATCAGGGTACTACTGTATAAATGAGCAAAGTTGTATCCCTTCAACATTATGTTACATAATATTTTAAAATATGGAGTGAGAAGGCAGAAAGGTGTGGGTGATTAGAGAGATGAAATGGTAACATGCACTGGTGTTGCCAAACGTTCCTCAACACCTGAACTTTACCTCGCCACCAGGCAGTCACACAACCAGACCCTAACTGGATGCTTTTGTCTTAATTCCTGTGTGTGTGTGTGTAGTGTGGCAGCATTATGTTAATGTTAAGGTGCAAGCATGACTTGCTTACTCTTGCTTTCAATTACCGCTGCTGGCTAGCCCTCGTGGTGAACAGGGAAGCAACTTGCATAAGTCTTCCCCTGCCAGTACACAGCCGCTTCACTATCAAGACTCCTGCTGTGCCTCCTCGTGGTAGCACACGGTGCCTCGTGGGCCTAGGCTATACCAGCAGGAGATCTCGGAGTAGCAGTTGGCCCTAGAGGGGCGGCGCATAGGCCCAATGGCATGTGGACACGTCCTGGTGCCTACCAACCACTGCCCCACTGCCTTGCGGATTAACCTTGGTAGGTACAAGGCTTTTTTTTTTTTTGTGAGGACCAGCCCACACGGCACAGGTCACTGACCTACATCAGGGCCGGGGGGGGGGGAATATAATAATAATAACAACTATTATTATAATTAATACAAATTTATAAAAAATAATAAGAATAATCATAATAACTATAAGTAAATACAAAAATGAAAAAAATAAATCAAGAATGAGAAACGATGTACTGTACATTGTGTATGTTGTGTTGTCAAAGTAGAAAAACAATTGAGACCCTGCAATTGTCTGTAAATGAGGCAGAAAGACAGATCAGCAACCTGGGACTTGGTCACAATTTCTGTGATGCCATATGGCAGCAGGGTCTACCATTGGACAAAACATTATGCTTCCAATATCTTCCCAGGTGGTAGTACCTCCCGGTTTGATAGCATTGGTGTAAGGTAGTAAGTAGTAGGCAGCTACCAAACTAGTGTACAGTAATTTGTTGCAAGACCGGCAAATTCTAAGTTTCTTAACATGTAATTAACAAAGAATTCACCATTTACAGAAGAAACGTCGGGTGCTTTCTTCCCCGGGCATGACCTTCTTAGACTCTCCAGTAAGTATATTTTATAGCATATTATATTGCACTTTTGTAAGTTATGATGTAAAATACTTGCTACTTATTAGTACAGGGTATATCTTATTGGTCAACCATAAGGAGGTCACTCACTACTACTATATGCTACTATTTTGCTGTCACTTGGAATCGAGTATGACGATCATCCAGCTATGATACAATGATATGAGTTATTAGGGATGTCACCTAGGTTAGTGAGTTTTGAGGTGACTAAAGAGCCCGATACGGGACTGGCAGTTTCGTCCACATTTGTTTTACATTTGGAGGGCTCCATCTACTGTAGGAGGGGCAGTGGCAGCGTCTTTCCGACGTTGGCGCTTATATGCCTCGGTTTGCAGTTGGGCTAACTCGAAAGTACTGACACCTTCTCGTGTGGTGCTTCTCCAAGCGTTACGATGTGGAGTAATCGACTCCCAGGTGAGGGGGTCGATTTGGCACCTTTTCAGGTTTGTCTTATAAGACTATCCTTATACCTTTTCAATTGCTCGCTAGTGTTACGTTTACTATTCATTAGGTGACTGTAAAGTAGCTGCTTTGGCAGTCTACTGTCGTCCATGTGGGTAATATGGCCAGTCCAACGTAGTTGTTCAAGGATAATGGTAGCCTTGATGCTCCTACAGTTGGCTGTCAGCAAGAATGCTGGCATTTGTTCTCTTGTCTTCCCAGCGAACTCGGAGGATTGAACATAGACTATGTTGGTGAAAGTTTTCAAGTTTCTTGAGGTGCCTCCTGTATGTGACCCATGTCTCACTGCCATATAGTAGGGTGGGCAGGACCACTGCTCGATATATGTGCAGCTTTGTGGATAATTTCAGCTCCTGACAGCTGAAGACACAATTTCGGAGTCCGCCCAAGGCTTGAGATGCACATCTGGTCCGATGCTGAATCTCTTTATCGATGTCCGCGGTAGTGGACAGGTGGATGCCGAGATACCGAAAGTAGGTAACATTAGAGAGTGTAGTACCGTTAAGCTGGATGGATGGTAGAGTTGTGTCTGAAACCAGGGCCAGGTTGAAAGAGAATCTGAGTCTTACATACATTCACCTCAAGGCCGAAGTGTCCATACACATAGGTGTTCAGGATCTCCTGTAGATTGTGTTCAGTGTGAGCAACAAGGGTGAGGTCGTCTGCATACTGAATTTCGGTAATGGAAGCTGCCGACACCTTTGTTCTTGCATGGAGTCGTCTTATGTTGAAAAGACCCCCCTTCACATGGTAACCGATGTTCACTCCGGTGGCTAAATTGGCACTGGCAAGAGTAAGGAAGGCAGCCAAGAAGATGGAAAAGAGAGTTGGTGCCAGTACACACCCTTGTTTAACCCTGTTTGGATGGGGAAGAACTCTGACTGGGTGCCATTGTGCAGGACACTGCCGTTCATGCCATCGTGGAGTTGCCTCACAATGGTGATGAATTTTGGTGGGCAGCCAAAACGGCTGAGGGTCCACCTGAGGGCTTCCTTGTTGATCGAGTCGAAGGCCTTGGTTAGGTCGATGAAGGCATGTACAGGTCACGACGCTGTTCTCTGCACTTTTTCTGTATCTGGCGGGCAGCAGAGATCATGTCAGTGGTGCCTCGTGATGGTCTAAAGCCACATTGAGATTCTGGGAGATAGTTTTTCCCCTCAGGAAGAAGTCTGTTTAGGAGGACTTGGGTAATAATCTTGCCAGCTACGGAGAGCAGCGAGATCCCACGGTAGTTGCCACAGTCTGACCAGTCCCCCTTGTTATTATAAGTATTGACAATGGAGGCATCTTTAAGAGCTTGGGGGATTTCCTCCTATTCCCATATATTCTCCAGAAGAGAATGGAGATGGCTGGGAAGTAGAGGTCCTGCTTTATACACCTCGGCTAGGATTCCATCAGGCTTTGTTATTTTCCATCTGTTTGATGGCAGTAGCTACCTCATCCAGGGATGGAGGATAGCTGAGTTAGGTCAGCCTGATTGCTGAGGGACCTGCTGGGTAGTCAGGACATCCACATTGGTGTTTCGGGAGAGCAATGAATGGTAGTGCTCTTTCCAGCACTGAAGGAGGCCTTCATCGTTTTTAATTATGTGGTTACCGTGAGATGAGCGAAGGGGGTCTGCGCCACGAGTGACTGGCCCATAAAATATTTTAGTGAAAATGAAAAATTCATGCTTCTTGTGCTGATCTGCAAGTTTTTGTGTTTCACATGCTTTATTTTTAAGTCAGTTGTTCTTTAGATTGTGAAGTTCCCGCTGGGCTGCCGCTTTCTTCTTGCTTTGGTCCGAGACTGAGGGTTGTTCTGCCAGTCCGTAAAAGCAGCACGTTTATCATCGATGAGAACTTTGATTGCCAGGTCATTTTCATCAAACCAGTCCTGGTGTATTCTTTTGAACTGGCCGAGAGTCTCTCTGCAAGTCTTTGTCATAACAGTGTTAAGAGTATCCCATTCGGCACTGGGATTCGCGTTGTTTGCTGTTGGGTTGTTTATAAGCCCATGTTTGAGCTGCTCTCTGAAGGCATGTGCTACCGCTGGATCCTGCAGATGCTTAGTATTAAAACCTCTGCTAGAGGCTTGCTGCCTTTGCCGTTTTGGGGCAACGTGAAGTAAGAGCTTGGATCTGACAAGTCAATGGTCACTGTCACAGTGGTCTGAGCCACGCATGGCACGGGTGATGAGGACATCTCGGATATCTCTTTCTTTGACAATGATGTAGTCAATGAGATGCCAATGTTTGGATCGTGGGTGTTGCCACGATCCCTTGAACTTGTCGGTCTGCCTAAACAAGGTATTGGTGATAGTGAGGCTGTGTGCAGCACACTTACTGAGAAGGAGTAGGCCATTGGGATTACACTTGCCTAGTCCATTTCTCCCTATGGTTTCCTGCCAAATATTAGCGTCTCTGCCAACTTTGGCATTGAAGTCACCAAGGAGCACAACCTTATCTTCTCTGGAGATAGAGGTTAGTACTCTGTCAAGGTCGGCATGAAAGGCCTCCTTGATGTCATCCTCTGCATCCATGTTGAGGCATATGCACTGATGAAGAAGGCATGAGGTGCTCGTTGATCCCAATAGGCATTTCAGTTAGCCTGTGTAGGATGCAATTGGAGGGTGGCAAAGCCAACTCCATAAATGTAGTTCTCTCCGCAGCAGGCTTACCCTTCCAGAAGAAGGTGTAGCCAGAACCTTGTTCGTGAGTTGGCCTTCATCTGGGAGCCAGGACTCACTGATGGCTGCTATGTCTATATTATACCTAGCCAGCTCTTTTGCCACCAGGGCAGTTCTGCTTTCAGGATGCGCATTTGTGCCAGTATCCAGAAGGGTCCTGTCATTCCATGCAGCGACCATAAGAGGTTGTATGGTTTGTTTTTGTTTGTGTCTGTGATTATGATTGTGTTTTCGACCACATAAGGTTGACCTTACTGGGTGCGGTTGCCCAGTCAGGTTGGGTTTTTAGGCAGGCTATGTTTAAGGCACCTTTTCTCACCCCCTCCCCATGTGGGGTGAGCAGAGTGGCTCCTCATAAGGGCTGCTCAGTTACACAGACAGGACCGGATTGCACTGCTGCCTAGATCCCAGTGCATAAACGACCATCTTATCTGTGTCACCCATGTGCTGAGTTGTAACTAGAGACTCCCGGGAGTCATTTCTGCCTGTTCCCGTCACCATAGGACTATTGGGGGGTATAAGGGGTTTTGATGATGGCGAGTTGTATGATGAGCTGTGTGATGGCTGTGTGTGAGTTGATTTATGTGGTGAGGCAGGAGTGCAGGCTGCAACCACACATCTTGGCTCTCTCTTTTCTTGATTCAGTGGTGCAAGTGTTGCAATGACTGGGGAGAGGGAGAGTTGCAATGGACTGCCGATAGCCCAGTTTGTTGGGTTTTGCCTTAGTAGCCTGTCCATTGGGCTTTGCCTTCGTCCGCCGGTGTAGTCGTTGGGTTTCCATGGTGGTCACCTCTTCAGCCTGTACCGCTGTTGGGGTCTTGTTGGAGCTCTGTAAACATGTCTGCCTGATGCGGGGCTCCACCGCAGATTTTTCGTTTGGGGTGTACTCCCGTAGCCTTGTACCTACCAAGGTTAATCCGCAAGGCAGCAGGGCGGTGGTTGGTAGGTGCCAGGACGTTTCCACATGCCAGTGAGCCTATGCGCCTTCCCTCTGGTGGGGCCCACTGCTACTCTGAGATCCCCTGCTGATCTAGCCTGGGCCCACAAGGCGCCCAGTTACCGTGTGTTGCCACGAGGAGGCACAGCAGGATCCTTGATGGTGGGGAGGCTGTGAACTGGTAGGAGAAGACTTATGCAAGTTGCTTCCCTGTTCTCCACGAGGGCTAGCCAGCGGCTGCAGCCGAAAGCGTGAGGGAGCAAGCAGTGCTTGCACTTTAACTGTAACAAAATGCTGCCACACTAGATGCATTTCACCACCCTGTGTAGTGGGTGCACACACACACACACACACACACACACACACACACACACACACACACACACACATCTTTGACCACCGGAGGGTCAAGACCAATCAGGTGCCCACTCATGCTGCGGAGCTGCCCCCGGTTAATATTGAGCCCATTCCCCAAGTCCCTTTCCTCGACCCATCCTCACCACCATGATATCAACATAATCACGCTAAAAGTGACAATTTCATTTCGGAAAGAAGTGGGATCAGTGTTGAACAGCATTTAAGTCAGTGAATCTAGAACCAGACAGTACTAGCGAGAGCCGTGACCCACCAGTGAGGTCCACACCTAGAGATAAGCACCCCTGGGAACCGATCACCATTTTCTGACCAGGTTGTGTTAATCAGTCCACCCTGGGAACAACCTTGGGTCGGCTTTACACCTGACCATAAGATAACACAACACTATTTAGCAGCGAGTGAGGTACTGTGACACCAACCCACACCACACGGTGTCTCCCTGACCACGTGAGGTCCTTCATGTCAACATCCTTGAACAAGTTACTACACGTGAACACCACACCACCCCATGTCTCCATAACCACGTGAGGTCCTTCAGGTCAACACCTACGGACGAGTTACTGCACCACGTGACCTACGTGTCCTCACACAGTAGGGCAAGAGACCAGCCCGGGCCATCAAGTGTAAACTATAATTTGTATGTTCAATTCATGCTCCTTCTCCTTTTAGTAATGAAAGCTTTTGTTAAACGACCCACCTACCCCATGTCTTTGTATGTAATAAGCTATTCTTGTCTAATGTATATTTTCAGCCTTTGGGCTGCTGAACTTTTTCAATAAACCATTAATTAATATCATCATTATTATTATTATTATTATTTTTATTTTTATTTTTATTTTTATTACACACACTCACTCACAAACACACATGCAAATAAATCACTGGGGATGCTCATGTTCCATGTTTATGCTGATAACCACAGAACAGCATCTGAAAGCAGTGCCCTATTCGTTCATGTTAGGAATAATAATCATCCCATTGCTTGGGAAAAAAGCTTAGAAGTATTCAAATCATCTTGCGTCACAGAAAGACTTCTGGTTGAAGCAAGTTTGATTAAGGAATTAAAATCAATAAACCTTAGTGATGGTCAGTACAAAACTGATAATATGTTACATAAATTTATTTGTCTGTGGCCCACGGTTAAAAATGCTTTGAAAACCTTGGAGCTAGATGTATGATAGTTATTTAGTGGGTCCCTTATTTTTGACCTGACCTGACTAGTCACGTCGCCCCTTTCTCTTAAGCTCCTCTACGTGTGTGTTGGTGTTGGCGTGGGGATTAGTGGATGACATCATTATGACCTGACCTCATGTTTAATAAGGTCACCCTGTATATTTAAGCCTCTCTGTCCATGTAATCCAGTTGCCTCTGAAGATGTCTTGAATAAAGATGAAAGCTAAGTTGCTCCGTTGTTTCCCTTTTCCCCGTGTGATTTTATCAAGGTTTATCTTATCCACATTTTCATTGTGGATCTACATGAAATATATATATATATATATATATATATATATACACACAGATACAGTCATCCCTTGGTTATTGCAATTTTCATTATCACGCCTCCATTAAAATCTGCACACCTGTTATATCGCATTTTTCAAGCCGAGAATTTCGTTATCACGCAGTTGCCTCCAGGTGTTTTTACCCATTTGCTTCACCTACATCTATTGAGGATAAAATCTTTCACCTACAAATTGACAATAACATATACTGTAATCAGACATATCTAAGTTGCCTCAACAATTGCAACCCATTGCAATTTCAAATTCTGTGTCATTACTAAGGAATAATGAAGTTTCTGGTGCACTCTTAAGATTGAGGGAAAACGGATGAGTCGGGCGTCCTGAAGCAATGAGAAAACGGACTCCTCAGATGGGGGACTCAAATAAAGAAAGCATAGCTACATGTTTTGTGGACTACAGTATTGATTGTACCCTTTTCATCACTTTGTAATAAACCTAGCCATGCCTATGTGTGTGTCTGATACTTACCATAACATTATATTGTATACTGTATATCTTTAGTGGGCCTAAATGGTTCCTAAAATGGGAAAATTGGGGTTGGGTCTTGGGTGCCTGGAACCAATTAGAATAAATCCCATAGGTTCTGTACTTTCGTTATTGCATTTTTCGTTATCACGCACTTGGCGCTGTCCCAATTAGGCGTGATAACCAAGGGATGACTGTATATATTGGAAAGATTTTTGGTGGAAGGGGCACATTTTCCAGAAAATTTCCCAATACCTGGAAAATTCTGGGGATGAGGGAGTTTTTTCCAGGTTTGAGAGATTTTTTAATTGTATTTGAATTTTATTTTATATATTCTTGGATTCCAGGAACAAGATGGAGATGATAGTTTTCTACTGGAATCAAAAAATGGAAAATTTTTCACTAGCCGGTCTCGTGCTGCTGCTACTGTTCAAATTGGCAAGAACATAAAGTGAGTTCTTATTGTTTTACCATTATATTCACCTACCCACCTAATTTACCTAATGGCCACCGCAGAGAGAGGTGCCTGTGTAGGATCTTCCATTTGTTCTTGCATCCACACAGCTTGAACTTGTTTACTGTTCCATAGGTTTATGTGGGTGTATAAGTAAAGGTAATTTGTCAGTGATTAGATAACAATACTGTACAATATGCTGCTTTTTCCCAGTTATGTGTTCACTTGTTAGATGTGTTTTAAAGATCCAAATTTGGTAAATATTTTTATGAAAATATAAATACAGTATGCAAGTAGTACAGGTACTGTAGTTTCTAGTCTCAGCATATATTGCTGATGTAAAGACTTGCTCTTTAATAGGTGAATAAAATTGTCTGGCATTAGCCAAATAAAATATTAAAGTGGCATCTCCTTAGTGAAGGGGTTTGTATACAGTACACTGAAATAAGAAGATTTCTTAATTTTTTCTCCATTTCGAAATTGTTAGACTTGGGGTGCCTCACATTGTGTTATGAAAACAGTTCACAGTAAACTACTCACACCATGTGAACTGTGTTAATAAATCCTTGAATTATTTGTATTCCTATGATGATTACTTATGCTTTTATGAAGCCGATTTTTTATTTTTATTTTTTTTTATCGACTTTCAAAGTGTTTGCCTTGCATGGCAGTGCATATAGTCTCCGTTTTTCTCCATCTAAAAATTTGACTCCCAAGGAGCTTCAGTTACCCCTAGGCAGGCTATACACATTTTTGGGTTGAGTAAGAAAGGTGAGACGGGAGGATGGGTGTGAATTTTCATGTGTATTCTCCATCCCATTGAACTTCATTAATTTCTAAACTATGCAGGCCTGTACGCTTGGGGGAAAAAAGCGCTCTTGTGTTGAGTGGGCTTTATGTTGAAATATGAGAACTGTGGTTAACCCGCCCGGTTTGAAATACAGCGCAACCTCGAAAATTCGAATTGCATGGGCCCACGAAGTATAAAAATTTTGGATGTATGGAAGTGCCAGAGCAAATTGTTGTATCAAAACATGCTACAAAAATTATTTACATATCTAAAAACTGTCAATAAGCAATAGGTATAATAAATTAAAAGTATTATTGTACAGTATTTATATTCAACAACATTTATTCTAATATATTTAGAACATTATAGCTACAGTGGTCTCCATGTAATCTTGCCAGTCTCCAGTACAGTCTCCAAATACTGTACTGTACAACACTCCGTCTCCATCCACCTTCACTGTACTGGATACAATGTGTGACCTAGCATGTCTTGGAACCCGGATGCGCTTGTTGTGCTCAGCATTATGATCGCATTTGAAAGCTTGAATTATTATGGTGATATTTTCAAATTCGAAACCTAAAATTTTGGCACTTATTTTTAATCAGATGCTATTCGAATTTTAGATGTATCTGAATTTTTGAGGTTCGAATTTTAGAGGTTTCACTGTATTACTGCAGGGTATCATAATTTTTCATTTGTGAATGCTTTGCGAATATCAAATAGGGGTGTTAAACTACTTATTGCAGGCAAGCAAGTTTATGAATAGCGAGGTATTCCTGTACATAAATGACGCCACCTATGAAAGTATTCACCGAGCGGAAGTGCCATTTTGGCTGTTTACTATTTCCTCTCAGTGCTGGTCAGGATGCTTTGTCTGTTGTAAGTTGATTTATCAGACAATCTCTCTCTCTCAACACACAAGAGGGGTGAAATTAAACTTCTACGCTGCTGTGTAAATACACAGACATTTGAGTAGTGTACTGTATTAATATTCTCCATCAAAAATGAGGGGGGAATAAAACTGAATTTAGATTTTAATTTAGGTGTGTACAGTATCAATTTTGTACATAAGGGTCAAATTTATGTTACCTGTCTCAATCTTTAATGACCAGCCTATTGTCCAGCCATAAACTGTTGGGACAGTTTCTCATTCTTAATATCTCTGTCTTTTTTATTTTTTTGTAACCTCTATCAAGAACTAGGTTTGAACTTTATGCAGTTTAATAGAGTATTTATATGAAATTTTTGTAGACTGGCTGCTAGGTATGGGGACCTAACACTAAAGCAACGTGAGGGAGCCTTCATAAAGAAGAATGTTGGCCGTCTTGAGGATCAACTGGAGCAGTATTTTGAACCGCCAAACAAATCCCAAAGGTTGGTTCTTGAATGTTTGCTTCTAGAACAGTTAAAATCTTTTTCAGGTGTAATAGCTAAAGTCTGCAGAATTTGTAATAGGCTTAGCCCTTAAACGTTGGTGATCGTAAATAGATGATGAGCGCTTATTGTCCCACAACCAAGGTGATCATCTATATATTCATTGCAACTTTGGCTTCCCATTTTGATTCCTCCCTGCACCAATGAGGAATTTTTTGTGATCATGGAAGAATTTTCTGGCATTTCCAGTGACACTTGGTGCTGAAAGACCCCTGGTTGCAGCAATGTTGCCTTGATGCCCAGAAAAAAATAAGTAAAATGTTATGGGAGTCAAGTGTGAAGATGAGATTGAAGAACTGGTAGATTCACTAAATTAATTTGAAAATAGGAGTGTTTGAGCTTCAGCAATAGTGACACTGATAAACTAGTCATCAGCACAGGAGAAGTGCAGAGACACCAGGAGGAAAGCGAATTATAAGTGCTTCTCCACATTACACATGTATCAGGTAGGAGTGCATCACCAACACATGCATGAGGTGTTCGTGGTGAGCAGGAGACTTAAGTAGTGGTGATTATTTGGACTGCAAAGTCATCTTGGAAAAACTATGGTACAACACCACAGAATGAACTTTTGTTTTAACCCTTACCGTGTTGATGCCCCTTCACCATAAATCTGTTCTTTATGAATACTGAAAGAAATTAAACTATCTGCAGACACCTGTATTTGGGAATTGCCATATACAGTAATCATTCCTTATAATGAAATTCCTTTTAGTGGAACAAATTTGTGTCGTTATTGGCTTCTCCATCCATGCCACCGGTGTTGGTATGTATGCATCATAATGTGCAATAATGCACTACGAGTGTTGTGCACAAAATAAGTGCTGTATTATACAGAATATGATGAAAGAAAAAATATGGGTTTTGAGAGAGACAGGGCGTGTTTGTTTTTAACGAGGAATAGCCCACCTGGACACAGGTCATTAACCCACAACTGGGCCTAGGGGGCGAAAAAATAAGAGCAAAGAGAAAATAAAAATAGAAAGGGAAAATGTTATATTAATCTACACCAAGAAGATGCCAGAAAACCAGCTTTGGGAAGTGAGACAGATAGTATAAGTGTGGAAACACAGAAGAAGGCAGAGCATTCTACAGTTTGGCTGTGTGAGGAAAGAAGGATCTACTATAACTGGTTATTCTAGTGTGACCGACATCTACAGAGAAACGGTGGGCACCGCGGGCAAGACGAGTGTTACGAGCCCACGGCCTTGCCGGCGGTACACAATGCCAAATCCGCCAAACATTGCCTGCCAAAGTACCTGTAAAAAAGAGAGAGTGAAGCAACATTGCAGCAAAGAGAAAGGGAAGGGAGATTATCAACTAAAGGAGAAGAGTTAATAAGAGTCACCCCAGATAGGAGAGCAGTATTCCCAAGTTAGGATGAATGAATCCCTTATATACTTGAACTGTTCAGGAGTGAAGTAGCTATGGCATATGTACAGCATTCCCAGCTTTTGGGAGGCAGCTTTAACAATGTTGTGGATGTGTGGCTTCCCTGACATTTTAGAGGAAATGGAGAGGCCTTGCATATCTATTTTAGAATTTGGCAGAATGATTGCGTCCTGAAAAGTGATTGGTGGGAGATCATCTAATTTGGAAAGTGTAATTGGTAAATACTGTGTTTTATTACTATTGAATTTAACCAAGTTTCTACCTCCCCATTCGGAGATGCTGCACAGATCCACATTGATAGATGAAATGATATCCGCTCTAGAAATAGATCTAGTTTGAGAATTAGGGGGAAGGGAGAAGTGTGAAGAAGAGTTAAGGGTAGAATCATCAGCGTAAGAATGGATAGAATTAGTCGTAGTGTGAAGTAAATCGTTGATAAAAAGAAGGAAGAGAGTGGGTGAAAGAACAGAACCCTGTGGGACATCACTATTGGTAGAGAAAGATGACAACCTAAACATTTTCACATATCTGATGTTACATGATGGCTTGGAATAACAAAAAAAAATTACGAGGGCATGATGCAGGGATTTGTCATTTAAAGAACCTTTCTCACATTGCAAATGCCAAGAAATACTGTGATGAAAATGGACATCTAAAACAACTCAAGACTTCCCAAATAAGCATTGTAAAGAGCTCCAGCTGTGTATCATCTTGTAAGCCTACATTGTCAATTGTAGATCAAGTGACTGCTACTGAATCCATTTGATACACAACAATTGCAGTAGCCCATATACTGTACCAGCTCATGTTTGCAAAATTTTTTACAAGTCTCCCATTTTCATTCCAGATTCAAAAGTTGCTGCTATAATGAATTGTAATTGCTATGTAGCAAGTTAAATATAGTATCAGATGAACTTTGACCACATTTCAGTGTATATTAATTGAAACGAATTCAAAAATTTGCTTTAGCATACACTAGAGATTGAAGAGACGACAACTGTCATACTGGCGACAATTGGAAGTTTTGGTCAGGTACTTCTCTGAACAACAAAAAAGTGTTTGTCATCTTACTGCCATCACTATTGACAAGCCCCAAGCTGTTATTCTCTATGAAAAAAATTGCTGAAGTGTTTACTGCACTGTACACTCGCAAACTTCTGCAGATATCCAGTGGTGGACCAAATGTAATGAAAGCATAAACAAAGCAGGAAAAGGCAGTACTAAATCCCCACATTGTGGACATTAGTACTGCAGCTATTTGCATTATTCACAAAGTGCACAATGGCTTTTGCAGCTGCTTATGACAGGTTTCTTAATGTTGAACAACTCAGTACTGAGTTCTACTTACAGGCTACTCCAATAAGATGAAAGGATTTTTAGAAAGTTCAGAAAAAAGTAAAAAAAAAATACCACTTGTTTCTGTGTTATGTATCAAATTGGTGGCTCACCTTCGAAGTTGTAACTGGTCACCTTAAACAACTTCCTGCTATTGTACAGTGGACCCTCCATTAACGAGCGGTTCAATTTGTGAGATTTCAGTTAACGAGTTACCTCCCGTAAGGACTATCAGTTCTATTAACGAGTACAAATTCTATATAAGACAGCCTAATGAGAAACACGTTTTGGTGAGCACATCAGCTGATCGACTCGTCCGCCAATAATTGGCTCTAAGTTTACCTCTGTTTCCAGTGGAGTGAACAGCGAGAAAGTTGTGCTCTTGAATATTTTTGCATTTTTACATAAAGAATAATTGGTCATTTTCAAATTTGGTTAACATATTGTTAATATACAGTGCAGTGTTGGTTTCAATAAAAAAAATTGGAATTAGTTAAATAAATTTTTTTTTAACTTAAAATTTTTTGGGTGAAATTATCAAGCATGGGTCCGAAGAAATCTTGCAAGGCGATTTCAATTTAAATGAAACAAGAAATGTGAATAAATATGAAGAAGGCATTAGAACCAATGCACTCTGTAAAGAATATGGCATGTCGTCGTCGACTGTGTCTACAATCGGCTGTTTGCGCTGCCGCTATGTAAGCAAAGCCACCAGGAATTTACATACACACCTCTAAGTGTTAAAATATATATATTTATTATTATTATTATTGTACAGTATACAGTACAGTACTGTATTTTGTTTATATTTAATGTTTTGTTAATTCTATTACCGGTATACAGTACAGTGACCCCTCGGTTAACGAACTCAATCCGTTTCAGAAGGTCGTTCGTTAACCAAAAAGTTCGTTAACCGAAACCATTGTTTCAATGGGTTCTTGGGTAATTGGTTCCAGCTCACCGAAAATTTTCTAAATTCAACAAAAATGGGAGAAAAGTTCACTTACTTTTAGGTGTGTATGTAGAAGGCTCCTGGATGATGATGATGATGATGGGATTTAGAATGGGGGTGGAGGAGAAGGAAGAAGAGAAGGCATTGGGGTGGAAGAGAAGTCACCCCATGGCGCCATTTCACCCATAAAATTTTAGCTCTCTTGGTGTAATTCAAGATTATTTTCTTTAAATCAACACTGCACTGCATTATATATTGTCAATATGTAAAATATATTTCAAAATGACCAATAATTTGCTTGGAAACACAGAAAAAAAGCATTTAGTTGAAGAGAGTCTCAAGCAAGATGTTACCTCCAGTGAAAACAGAGAGAGACTAATGCCTGTTTGCTGTGTTAAGAGGCTGGATGCCGCGCATTAAACTAGTCTCTTTACCTTCAATTATGTTCAATAATTGTTAAAATGATTAAAAAATTGAATATTAAACTTTTAACATTATTGAATAGCATAAACTTCTTGATATTTACTAAAATAGTAAGGAATTTAAGCCCTAGAACCGATTAATGTATTGGCGGACTGATACTAAAGTTGGTTGCCCGGTCAGTGCAAGCGAAAACATGTTGAGGTCGGTTCGTAAGAAATTCGTTAACCGAATTTTTGTTCGTTAACCGAATTTAAGATCCTTATGGAAGGCAGTTCGTTAACCGAAATTTCGTTAAACGAGGGGTCACTGTACTTTGTATGTACTTTTTAATTCATTTTAAGGGAATTATGTGAGTTGGAACCAATTACCCAATATCCCATTGAAATAATAGATTCAGTTAACGAGTGACTCTGGAACCAATTGAGCTCGTTATTGGAGGGGCCACTGTACTACATTTTCTTTGTGACCAAACCTGTAAGAATAATGAATGAATCAAGAAGCACTCCAAGACTTTGAAGAACAATTTGCTTGTTGTAGAAATACAATTCCTGAAATGTCATGTCAGCATTTACAAGAGTAACAAAGCTGTTACAGAGTGAAGCACTGCTTATCTACATTCTGTACAGTATATTGAGCTCTCCATGCTAATTGTTTACATTACTTTGCCATTTCCTAAAGCCTAAAGTGGTTGGAACAAAATTTGGCAATGAACTCTACAATATCAACACTGAAAGAAATGAAAACTACTTGACAACTCCACACTTTGGATATGAAGCTTCAAAGACACTTGAGATATTTATCGGTGGAGAATCTCTGATATGGATGTCAGACATTCCACAGTCGGGCACGTACCTTCTTCAAATAGTTTGTCTTGGCTTTGTGGGAATCTTTTCCTATGGGACCTCCAAGTGCTCCATCTGATTGGTCAGTTGGAGCTATTTAACAGTTGGCTGTGAGCATTAAATTTTTTCCTCATCCTAAAATAGAAAGTGTTAATAATGAATGGAAGGCATTTCAAGTTGAACTGTTAACAGAAGAATGGGCCCTATTTCAGTTCAGGTGGTAGATAAATGAGACAATATATTTCAAGTTAGTTGAGAAACTCCAAATGATGATCTACATTCTGACAATTGACATACAGTACATGCAGTGAAACCTCTATTTAATGAACTATTTGGAGAGGAAAGTCCATTATATCGGGGGTCTGTTAGGTGTATAATCCCCAGCTAACAGATTATTTGTAGAGAGAAGTCCATAATAAAAGTTTTCAGCAGAAAGGCAATTAATGGTCTCAAAATAGCCTACCCTTGAAATGCTTGTCAAAATCTGTTTGACTCTCTTACACAGCAGTGCTGATGTAGATAGATCCTTCAGTGAAGATAAGGCTGTGATGACTTCTGCAAGAACTCAAATGTCAAATGAAATTTTGATTGACAGTTTTTTCATTCATTAGGAAATATGAGAACAAGAGAATATGTACCAATAACTCTTGCACTGTGTTAAGTTGTTAAAAATGTTAGAACTAAACCTGACCAACTTGTGGAAACACAAAAAAAAAATATGAAACCTTCTCGGGTGAAATGCAAAAATGTCAATAGATAGCCCAATCACCTAATAAGTATCTCGAGATTGCTAATGCAAATCTGTCTGAAGCTGATGCACTTAAGAAGGAAGGACTGACTATGCTTCAGGTCACTTGTAACAATGCAAACATGAGTAAGGCTAATGTTGTACATGCAATTATAGAGCATAGCAAGCGGACTGGGCCAGAAAAGGAATGCTGAAGCTGAAATATCTACAGTTTATATTTGGTCAATACATGCTTGCAGTGATGAAGTATTGAAATACAGTCAACCCTCACTTTATTCGGTTAATTCAACCCACAGGGTACCACGTAAAGTGAACAACATAACATATGGGATTAATTGAAATAGAGACCGGGCTGACCCCCAAACTCCACTTTTTCAGACACAATACCTACGTTGTAGTAAAAATAACTTCTTAATTTTATGATGGTATGCACACACAATTAATAATTAAGAGAAATATCAATAATATTAGGTTTTTTAACACTTACATTAGTAGAAAAGATGGCTGGGCACACGGGGATGGGGGGTTGGTTCCGAGGCAGAGGGCAGATTATTGGCCCTCACCTGTATCAATTGTATCTCTATCCACCACAGAGGCTTGCAGGGCCTCTTTGTCAAACCCCTCAAAGTCCATATAAGTCCATATCCTCACTGTAATTATCACTATCACTGACTTGGGCCGGCTGTGGTGGGTGGCGGGTGAAGAACTCGGTAATGTTTTGATGACTGGGCGACCTTGTGCGCACCCTGCTCGCGCCGCTTACACAACATGGCGGATGGCGGAAGGTTTGGATCCAAAAATGGCGCGGCTCGCCAGCCGCTCTCCGCGTAAAGGGGTACACGCACCGCGGAATGTGAGCATTCCGGTTTCAGCAGGGTACCGCGTAAACGTGAAAACGCGGAATGTGGGACCGCGTAAATCGAGGGTTGACTGTATTAACATTACTTCATTCAGTAAAGCCTTCATTTTTTTGTTGGCTGTATGAAATTTAATGGTCTGGTAATTTATTTTATTCAATCACAGCACCAGTGTGATTTAGTTACTAATGCTTTGCTTATAATATTACCGTATGTGTTCACTGATATGGAGTACAGTACAGCACTAAATTTTGTTTTCATCTCTTGGAAAATTAATTTATTATAATAAGCTCTACCCAAAAGCTGCATTTTGGCAGACCCGTTCTAGTTAGGTCGTGGGTAAACCAACCCTTTAGTGAGCTAGCACCTTCCCAGGGAGGTGGAGGTAATGCACATGAGTCCCTCCTGTATTGTAGCAGAAAAATTTAAAATGTATAGGAGTTAAAAAAAAAAAAGCTAGGCATTAACATAACTAGGTATAAGCTAGGCGTCGCATTCTGGATTGAACAAAAACAACATTTACAGATCTTTTCACTACAATTACTTTGCCCTTTTAAAGGTTTTTAATCACCTAAACATATGGGGTCTAATTATGAGTTATATTTACAAGGAATGAAGGAGAGAATTTTGTTGCTTTAATGTATTATAACAACATATATGCTTCTATTTCAGTATAAAAGAAGCCTTGTCTTTACCATCGGTGCAGGCCAACCCTCGTCCCCTTCCAACTCGTGTGCCATCAAGTCCATCACCTGGGAAACAGCGTGATCAACGCAAGAAATCACCTAAAAAATGCAAGATAGTGACTGGTTCAAAAAATGGGTTGAATGTCTCCAGTGAATCTGTTGGTGAAGAGCTACAGGACATGGAGTCTATTCTCAAAGACTGGGATGAAGTGGAGGCTGCAACTGAAAATTTTACATCTGATGAAAAACTGGTTTGTACAGTTTACATTTATTTAATAAATTTAAGTAAGCCTTTTAGGAAGCTATACACAGTATTAAATGAGACATATACAGTGGTCCCTCGGTTAATGAATACAATTCGTTCCACAGAGTCGTTCGTAAACCGAATCTATTATTTCAATGGGATATTGGGTAATTGGTTCCAATTCACAGAAAAAGTATACATACAAAGTACTGTATACCGGTAATAGAATTAACAAAACATTAAATATAAACTAAATACAGTACTATACTGTACAGTATACTGTATTAAAAATAAATGCAGTAAAGTACACTTACTTTGAGGTGTGCATGTAAAAGGCTCCTGGTTGATGATGATGATGGGAATTAGAATGGGGGTGGAGGAGAAGGGAGAAGAGAAGGCAGTGGGGGTGGAAGAGAAGTCATCCCATGCTGCCATTTCACCCATAAAATTTTAGTTCACTTGGTGTAATTCAAAATTATTTTCTTTAAATCAACACTGCACGGTGCTATATATTATCAATATGTAAAATATATTTCAAAATGACCAATAATTTGACTGGAAACAAAAAAAAACATTTATGTTGAAGAGTCTCAAATAAGATGTTTCTTCCTCTGAACTGGTAAACAAACTGACGCCAAGCTTGGTGTGTTGAGTGGCTGTTTGGCGCGCAAAAAACTACAGTTCAAGTACAGAAATCCGGACCACCCGAGAATCCGGACTTTTCGAAAACTCAAACTTTTTAAATTTAGCGGGCTTTTGTGGGTAACTTGAATGAACGGAGTTGCTTTAAAAAAATTAATTTACATAATTCTAATAATAAAAGTAATTGTAAATTATAGGTAGCTAATTTTGTTTGTTTTGTAATTAGCTTGTCCTGAAATATAAAATTTGAGGCACTAAATCTTTTGTGTGCATGCGTGAATGCCACAGCTGCACAGTGACAACAAGCGACCACGCGGTCGCCACTTTAAAACAAGCAATCAAACGGTGACAACGTATGTAATTTTGAGTCCTACTCTTTCCATTTACAGAGTACTGTACAAGCCCATAATAATGGCTCCTAAAGTAGATAAACTTCGTTGTGTGAAGAGAAAGAAGAACACATTGAAATTGAGTGACAAACTTGAAATAATTAAGAAACTAGAACGTGGTGTGAGCAATACTGATCTAATGGAAACATACGACATTGGAAAGTCTACAATTTATGATATAAAAATGGCAAAGAATAAAATTCTAGAATTCACAGCTTCTTCTGAGCCTTAAAACATTTAATATAAAACTTTTAAAATAATTGAATAGTACAACCTTTGTGATATTTACTAAAATGGTAAGGAATTTAAGCCCTAAATCCGATTACTGTATTAGCAGACTAATACTACAGCTGTTGGGCAGCCAAATGCAGGCGAAAACATGTTGGGAAAAATTCGTAAGGAATTCGTTAACCGAGGGTTTGCTCGTTAACCGAAGTGAAGAATCTTATGGAAGGTAATTCGTTAACCGAAGGATCACTGTGTGTGTGTATATATAATATATATAATACCCGGTATATATAATAATAATAATAATAATTTTTTTCATTTTTTAGGGAGGGGGACTCCGAAGATCACCACGAAAGCATAAGGTGCAGTAAAATTCATACAGTATTTTGTGGTTTATTTTTAAATTTAATGTTGACCTCCATTTTTTTTGCACATACGTAGTCTATTGAAACTGTAGTACGGTACCACAGTAACTATACTGTACAGTATATCTCAACACACATTGATTCCTTCATGGACACTTGCATGCATTTTGTCCAGTGACTTTTTTTCTTAAACAATTGATACTTTATGTAATGTAGTTTTATAAACTTGAATTGTATCTCCTTTGATGGACCTTAATTTCACATCTTAAATGTATAGGTAGTAGGCAGCTGTCAAACAGGGAGGTACTACCGCCTGGGAAGATATTGGAAGCATAATGTGTTGTCTAATGGTTGACCCTGCTCCCATATCGCATCAAAAATTTTTTTTACCAAGTCCCAGGTTGCTGATCTGACTTTCTGCCTCATTTACACACAATTGTAGGGTCTCAATTGTTTCTCTTACTTTTGACAACACAACATACATATATTGTTTCTCACTATTGATCTTTTTTTCATTTTTGTATTTCTTTATGGTTCTTTATTATTATTATTATTACTGTATTATCAGTGTTGTTATTGATATTTCATTTTTAATTTTGTATTTTGTTTGAAAAAATTTATTTACTATGAACTAATTATATTATTATTATTATTATTATTATTATTATTATTATTATTATTATTATTACGTTTTTGCCCCCCAGGCCCTGATGTGGATCAGTGACCTGTGCCCGGGTGGGCTAATCCCTGTAAAAAAAAAAAATTGGGTATTGTTCAACAGATGATATAATATATTAGTCACTTCTCTGCACAATTTCCCATTTTACGATTGGTGTGTTCAAAATTTCCCTTCAGTGTCATTAAGGATTTCTCCTCTGTACCAATTCACTTGTGTAGTCTTTCCACTTGATTTTGATAGATAACTCATATACAGTATTTGTCACTGCGGAGTCAGTAATTATTGTGTTCAAACTATGTTTGAGACTACTACCGGTACTATTTTTAGTAGGTTTAATTTGCAAGTACAGTAGAACATCGATATAACACGAGATACGTTTCAAGTGAGGTCGCTTTAAATCGAATTCACACTAAATCGAAGTGTTGTTTCAATGGACTAATTTAGTTTGGTACTTGAGAGAAACACAAAATACTAAAAAGACTGAGAGTCTACCCAGTTGCACCTCAGACCATCTCCTAGAATAAACAAAACATTGTTTTTTGTAGTATTATGTTAAAACAAACACTCATAAATAAACAGCTACAATTACGGGTCGCAAAATGGTCTGTTTACTAGCGATCAGCTGATGCGAGAGGGTGGTCGCGCTGGCACCGCACACCGCCTGCCTCTCATCTGCTTCACTATCCCTACCACTCACCATGCACTTTCACTTTCCTCTCAACTTAGTTTTTCATTACTTTATGCTATAAAAATAGATTTTCACCCACCTTTAGTTAGGCAAGTCATCCTCTGAAGATGCAGAGCCCAACTTGACCAGCTCATCATCCACATCACTGTCTAGTGGTGTGGCTGTGGAGGCACCTGACACGCAGGAAGCACTGGATGACAGCCGTGTTTGCCCAGACGTAGATGGGCCAGCTACCCCAGGAGCTGAAGGAATGGAAAATATTAATTGAACTATTGAATTTCTACCACATAATTATTATGTATCGTAAACCCAATATTTAATGAATTTTTCCAAGCAATAAACACTCAGTTTCATAACAAACTCACCTGATGAAGATAATGGACAGAAGAATGGGCTGATTTTCTTCTGTTGCTGGGCCATAACCATCTGATCTAGCAGCTGAAAATTCTTAGATGCAGCCCGATTCAACTGCGTTCCCTATCAGGGTCATGTTGCAGTACAGACTGGGTGGCAGAAGTGACATGCTGCATGAACTCCCTCACCTTAGGAATTGTCAGTTCCTTCCTCACTGTTTGGGGCTATCTGTTGCTTCCTCTTCTTCCTCGTGTTTCTTTGCCATCTCCAAGACTTCTTCAGAAGTGAGAGGATCTTCCATGCTGACAAGCAGTTCATTCACATCCTCCTCTTGAATTTCTTGAAATCCTGGTTCACCTCTCAGTTCCTAAATGAGCTTCAGAATATCTTTCACGTCCTTGCCTTCATCAAAGCCCTTGAAATCATGGACTACCTCACGCCACAGATTATGCCACACTCCATTTAGTGCAGTTTCTGGCACACTTTTCCACACAAGTGCAATGTTAGCTGTGGCATCTTTGATGATGTAGCTCTTCCAAAATGTTGCTGCAGTCACATTGTTGTCCTTGTTCATAGCTTCAGCCATTTGCTTCATGGTAAACTTGAGATAATATCTCTTGAACAAGACAAGAACACCTTGATCTAGTGGCTGAATAAGTGAAGTCATGTTTGGAGGGAAGGAGGTCAAGTTTACATCCTTATTCACGCTGCACAGGTGTTTGGAGTGGCAAGATGCGTTGTCCATGAGAACCAAAGCCTTGTTGCTGAGGTTAATTTTTTTTTTAAATTTTCGATGAATGGGGTGACAAGGCTGACGTGCCACTCATCAAGAATATCAGAAGTCATCCACGCCTTCTTGTTTGATCGTCAAATTACAGGAAGTTTCGGGATGAGCACATTTTTGAAGGCACGAGGTCTAGCTGAGTGGTGAATGACGAGTGGCTTTATTCGTGCGGTGCCTGGTGGGTGCATTGGCCATGAGAAGACTCGTCAGTGTCCTTGCTGACCTTGAGCCCTGGTGCCTTTTCTTCACTCTTCATTAGATAGGTTTTCTTGGGCATTCTTTTCCAATACAGCCCAGTTTCATCACAATTCCACACCTGGCAAGGAGAATAACCATTTTCTAACACTATATCCTTCAGAACTTTCTTCATATCCTCAGCCGCCTCCGCGTCGGCAGATGCAGCGTCACCTGAAAGCATCACATTCCATAGCCCCATCCTTTTGACAAATTTGTACAACCTGTACTTGTTGTGAACTTGCTGTCTTTGAGTGACTTCCCTTCCTTTTCAAGTTTCCGGGACTGTATTTCGTAGGCTTGGTTTTGCATCATGGGGCCAGTGAGAGGAAGTTTTCAGCACTGCATGTCTTCTACCCATAACTTCAGTGTATCTTCCATCTCAACATACACAGCAGACTTCAGGTGGAGTTTACCCTTGGCAACATCTGGTGAAGCATAGGCTGCTCTAATTTTCTTCTTGTTGAGCTTGATAGTGCGGACAGAGCTCTCCGACAGTCCAAATTGGCGCCCCACACTTGAAGCACCATTTCCAGCACCTTGTTTTTCTGTTCCAGTGTAATTGCTTGCCTTGATTTCTTGGCCTTTGGGGTAGTTAATGATGAAGTGGCTGGCCTCTTGGACATAGTGGTGATGGTTGATGCACGTGGTAGAAGGAGATAGTGTCACACAATACATATGTCCGTTCACTAGAGCGTCAGCGCGAGAATGGAGGGTGTGGGAGAGTGGCGGGCATCCTTGTAGCGTACCCAGAGAGGTGTCTGGCGGGAAACATTAGGTGCGAAACTTAAAATAGTGTGTGTTTCCATATGACGTGCCAGATTTGACTCGCGTAAAATAGGAAAGATTCATTTTAAATTAATAGTGTCCTTAATTGTGGGTGTCGCTTTAGATCAATAATTTTAAATCGACGTTCTACTGTACTGTAAAGTTCTTGGTGCTTTAGCATATGGAGCTAATTTGTTTACTCCATGCTCCATTTGTACTCTATAGTTGCAGACACATTCATTACCCAAGAAATTTATTAGGATATAACTGGAAAATTTATCCTGCAATTTCTTAATGTAACCAAGCCTGGATCAGGTGTCTCGGTTACCATCACACCTCCCAATAGGAAACTGAAGTACTGTATAGTAAACCCTCAATAACTCGGAATTTCGTATAACTCGGAATGTATTATAGTATAACTTGGGAAATGCCAAAATATATAAAATTATCTGGGAAAATCTCGGCATATCTGGCCACCTGCGTCACCTACCATACCTCTATGTCACCTGCTATGATGCTTCATTCTTTACCTACAGTGCTGTTAAGTGTTACTTCTATACATTCAGTAATTAAATGTACACATACAGTAATACCCCGCTTTACGCGGTTTCGCTTTAAGCGATTCTACATTTACGCGGTACCTCGTCAGAACCGGAATTTCATTTTACGCGGTGCATCTACTCATATACGCGGGTGAAGTATAATTTTTTATTTAGCTCATAAAATTCGTACAAATTACCCGGCCAGAATATAATTTACATTGCTGGAATTCTTACAATATGATGATCATTTTGAATATAATCATCATGGATTTTGCATTAGACATACAAATTTTAGATCTAATGTAATAATTTGGTTTATACAAAGCAAATATTTTATCTTTTGTGCAAAATATATGAAGTTTACATTCAAAATATTTCCTGGCCTGCAAGGAATCCAGAAATGTCAATTATATTATCCTAACTTTAGTCTGAGGTATTATTTATTACTAAACGTTAAAATCTAGTGTTTTCACCCAAACATTTCTCAGAGAGGGAGGAGTCAGTGAGCGTGGGAAGAGGGGGGGGGAGTTGAGTCCATTATTTGAATGGACATTAACCTGGCGACTGTATTTCTCTTAAATATTAATTGTGTGAGCATACCATCATAAAATTAAGATGTTATTTTTACTACAACATAGGTATTGTGTCGGAAAAAGTTGAGTTTGGGGTCGGGCCAGTCTCTTTTGGAATTAATCCCATAAGTTTTGTTATTCCATTTACGCGGTACCCCGTGGGTTCAATTGACCGCATAAATCGGGGTATCACTGTATATAGGTCGATAATTTTTTATTGTTGTACTTCTGTAGGTGGGGGGGGAAGTGCCTTGATAAGTCGGAATTTGGGATAACTCAACATGGCCAGAGCCCTATACAGTATGTCTTTTGTATAGAGCTTAATCTGTGATATCATACATGCTTGAGTGCATTGACATTGTGCAGTTTTTTACTCTTTTTTTTTTGTATGTAATAAATTTATATAAATTATTTATAGAGTGAATCTCCACACAAGCCTAAAAAAAAACAGGGCAACACTGGGTCTCCTAGAAAATCACCAAGGAAACTAGGACAAACTGAATTTCCAAGTGAAAATATAGAAAAAACCTCTCCAGCAAAGAAACTTGTAAGGCATGAAAGTAGTGTGTCTTCTCCAAGAAGGTCTCCAAGAAAATTACAAAATACAGTCCCATTGCCCATGAAAAACCAAAAGGATATGAATAGTGTATCTTCTCCAAAGTCACCTTCATTGCAGTCATCATTGAAGACCGATTCTCAAGAAACCAAGTTTTTTTCTATTTTTGATCCTAAAAGAAGACTAACAGATCAAAAACATCCCAAGAAGATTGAACACAGGTAAGTTGGTGCATGTTGTGTCATTCTTTTAGTTTAACTTTGAGATTAACAGCCATAAGTGTCTTGTACTGGTCCATACATCAATGTGCCCTGCAGATTATGATTTCACATATGAAATGTACTCATCAGAAACAGATTTTGATAATTTTTTGCTGTTTGATATTGTTAAATACTGTAGTACATTAAGATGTTGAGTACATGTTGAGTTGTTTCAAATTCTTCTGAGTTGTGTTATGTATGTCTTGTTTAGTTTTTACTCCTTGTATAACTTGAATAGTCATTGTTGTCCCCCCTCTCCCCTCCTTTTATTGGAAGGATTTATCCTGGAAAAGTAGCCTGAAACTTGAAGTTCTATCATGAACCCAACTTTTTATTTTCAAATTTAACTCTTTCAATGCTCAAGTTGATTATTTTTTCCTAATTATCCTTATAGATTCATTAACCTTTAAATGACATGATTGTAAATTGCTGACAAGTGCCCTTTGCTCATCAACAATAGTTTTCAGTGATACAATCAGATCTTTTGTGCTATAATATTTAAGTTTGGTATCTGATTTCTGCTCAAGGTAGTTGTGACTTGTGGCAACAATTACTTTCCTGTGTTGGCCCCTCTCTGCTCCAGTAGGTTTTTTATTTTTTTTCTTCATGGAGAAAGTTTTTGGCATTTCCACTGACGCATTGTGCGGAAAGACCCCTGGCCATAGCAATGGTGCCTTGACACTCAGAAAATAAGTAAAATGGTATGGAAATGAGAGAGAGAGATTGAAGAATGGTAGATTCACAAAGTATATTTGGAAATGATAACACGTGTGTGAACTTCAGCAATAGTGAGACTGGTGAAATAGTCATCAATGTAGAAGTGCTTAGAGACCAAGAGGAAAGCAGTGAGGAAAATGAAGTATAAGTTATCCGCATATTTTTTTTTGTACTGTTGAACACTGCATGTTATATTATTTATGATGACTCATGTATCATAAGAGTTTGATCTATGACAATGTAAAAATGAATCAATATTAAAAATGTGTCCAAAGCTGCCTGGCCCCCCAACCTCTTACCTCGTCACGTACACAGTCACTTCTTCCCCTTTGTTCTTGGCTCTCGTGAGGCTTACAGCACTTCTGATTACAGTGCTGTATTGAGTGACCAAATTTTTTCCTTTTCCCCCCAAAAAATAAATTGGTAACACACACACACCCACCTTCTTCTTTTTTAACACTGTTGCGCATGCTGTAATTTTTTTAAGTTTCCGTGACCACAACAAGATTCGCGTGGGACCACTCATTTGAGTGTCTGGTCATCTTTGTGCTGCAGCCAATTTATTCCACAAAAGTTATTTTTTCTTTATTTTGAGGGCATCTCTGGCATCATTATTGTTTTGGCTTTAACATGATCAGAAAAAAAAGTAAATAAGACAAGAATCACACTATTTTTTTACTCTGAATAAAGAAAAAAAATTCCCAGCATCATATCTGATGTTTTCCCCACTAACCTACCAAGAGTATCCTAGTTATAGAAGTGGAATTGTATGAGCTTTCCAATGGTGGCTTTGGAATTTTGTTATGGTTTAATTATGGGGAGTGTGGGAGAACAAATACAGTGGGGGATGCTATAATGAATCTAATTGGTTCTAGAACCTCGTTCGTTATAGGATTAATCCGTTCCAGGCCCCCAATTACAACCACTTAACACTGAAAAAATTCTGTGGAAAATGTAAAAAATACGGTACTTTATCTTACCTTAGTGTTGTTCAGCATGCAGGACAGGAGGCAGAGGGGGAGGGGGGAGGAGAGAATTATGGAGAAGAGGTGGAAGGAAAGGAGTCATCCTTCCTAGCCCTCTTTGGTGACTGTCTCACGGGCACTTTGTCTGTAGGTTCTTTTGTTACCTTTGTAAAGAAGGAATCCAGGGTTGGCTGCTTCAACCTTGATTTCTGGACCTTCCAAAAGTAGTTCATAACATTGTCATTAAACACACTGATGGCCTTTTGCACAGAACCAACATCAGGATGATAATCCTCAGCAAGTTTGGACAGTTTGCTCCAGCAAAAGAACGCATCCTTGAGATCTTTGGCTGGAATGATGCGGCTTTCCTCCTTGTCCTCCTCCTCCCCTGACTCCTCAGAAGTTAAGCTCCGCTTCAGTGTCTCGTTTTGTTCTTTGTGAAGCTCAAGCAGCTCCTCAGTGGACAGTTCCTTACTGTGCTCTTCCACCAACTCCTCAACATCATCATCATCCACTTCCAGGCCCATGGAATTGCCCAGAGACACAATTTCATGAACAACAGCCTCCTCTTCTAACTCTTCGAAGCCTTCAAAGTCTCTTTGAAGCACACATTCAGGCCACAATGGCCTCCAAGCAGCACAAAGACACCTCACAGTAACCTCTTTCCAGGCTGAGGTAATTAAAAAAAACAGCGTCTGCTATATTGAAGTGACTTCCAGAATTCCTTCAAACTAACATCACTGGAAGAAGTGGATGCAAAACATTTTCTAAACAGTGCCTTTGTGTACAGCTTCTTAAAGTTAGAAATTACCTGTTGATCCATGGGCTGGATGAGAGGTGTTGTGTTGGGTGGCAAGAAGTGCACAGTGATGAAGTTGAACTCCTCTGGCAATTCAACCATCAAATTAGGAGGGTGGGCTGGTGCATTGTCCATCACCAACAAAGCTTTCAGTGGAAGATTATTCTCCCTGAGGTATTCCCGAACACTGGGTCCAAACACCTCAATCACCCACTCGGAGAATAAATTCCTGGTCACCCAAGCCTTTGGGTTTGACCGCCACATAACACGAAGGCGGGTCTTCCTAATGTTTTTGAAAGCTCTGGGATTTTCTGCATGGTACACAAGGCGTGACTTTATTTTGCAGTCACCAGAAGCATTGGCACAAAGAAGGAGGGTAAGCCTGTCTTTCATTGGCTTATGGCCAGGGACAGAAGTTTCCTCCTTGGTAATGTATGTACGGCGAGGCATTTTTTTTCCAAAAACGTCCAGTTTCATCACAGTTGAATACCTGCTGAGAAACAAAGCCTCCCTCTGTAATAACATTCAAAAAAATGTCATGGTGTTCCTTAGCTGCTTCCTTATCTGCACTAGCAGCATCACCATGTCTCACAACACTATGTAATTTATTTCTCCTTCTGAAACCAGTAAACCACCCCTTGGTACCCCTAAACACTGGCACATCACTTGCACTGGGAGTCTTGGCTTTAAGGTCCTCAAACAATTGTCTGGCCTTCTCACAAATTATAGCTTCACTAATGCTATCACCTGCCATTTCTTTCTCCTTTATCCACACTAAGAGTAAATTTTCCGTCTCCTCAATCACATTACACCTTGCTTTGCTAAGTCTAGAGATTCCCTTAGCCACTTGCACAGTTTTCAACTCCTCTTTATTCTTTAAAATCGTACATATAGTCGATTTAGACATCCCATACTCATCACTAAGTTTCGCAATGCTTGTGCCATCCTCACGTTTCTTTATGATTTCTTTCTTAGTTTCAAGAATTATGAGCTTTCTCACTTGCTTTGGACGATTCATTGTCACAATTGTACACTTGTATAACAAAATATTTATACAAATAACTCTATTTCCACATCAAAAGACGAAATTTCAACAATAACAGTGGTGCACTGGCTACACAATGAGACAAAGATGGCACCTGACACTCTTGTTGTGGGTCGCGGTACAACAATATTCATGCGCCAGGCGAAATAGTCCCGTATTCATCCGCGTTCGTTGTAGGAGTTGCGTTCGCTACAGCATTCTCAATTTTATAGGTAAAACCGTTCGTTATAGGAATATTTGTAGTAGGATCCGTTCGTTATAGCATACCCCACTGTAGAGACAAATGCAACCTACCAGCACAGCTGACGGGGGGAATCGATGGACAGCGGAACTCCAACATTTTGGTACTTTCTCGAAGCTTCACTCGCTAAATCATGCCTGAAAATTTGATGCATTTATCTTGAAAACTAATTTTTGGCAAATTTTTAAAGTTTAATGGCACGATTTGCATCACCGATGCAAATCGTGCTACCCAATAATTTGACGTGATTTGTATCATGGATGAAACTAATGTATTATTCTTAGCTATATAGTTGACTATGATTGGATGCTCTAATGTGGTAACTCCACAACAAATTAGTATCCCTCGGTCATGCATTGATTACACATGTAGTGCATCCCATAGAGCTCTAAGTACTGTACTTTAAATGGCTTAAATACCAATTAAATGGAGCTTTTCCCTCTTGTTTAAACTAAGAAGAATGTCCTTGGCAAATATGAATGACAGTAAAGTTCAAACATTAAAGAATAGAAAAATCAAGTGATGGGAAATAAAGATGGGGAAGTAGGAAATAGTATTGATTACAGAATAGACTCTGAGTGTGTCCCCCCACCCAAACAACAAGGTAAAATGTAGCAAGATTGTTTTAAACATTAGTTAGAGAAATTTACTCTATTATTATTTTTACTTTTTTCTGCTTACAGACCAAACAGACATACATTTGTTAATACTGATGATTCACAAATGATGATTGATGCTGGACAAAAGAAGTTTGGTGCCCAACAGTGCTCAGTGTGTGAACTTGTATATGAAGTGAGCAATCCATCAGAAGAAGTCTATCATAATAATTACCATAATCAATTCAACACACTCAAGTTTTTGGTAAGTATCATATTGCTAAATTTATATTAAATTAATCAATCAGTCATTTTCCATGCTTGTGTATGTTAGCCGTAATTACTTGATGGCATGTGTACCGGTTGCCATCAGGCAGATTTGAAGCTAGTTTTACTGCTGGATACCTATCCTATTACCAATCCACTTTTACAGGGTTGAAACTGGGTTTGGATAAAATATAATATGTTAGCTTATCAACAAGATTCAATACAAAGTTCAGTACTGTATCCTATAACTTTGTAAGACATATTTACAGTAAACTTCCACTGATCGAGACTAATTGGAAGGAAGGCCTGTTCGGTTTGATCTGAAATTCCAGATTGGGCGGGGTTCTATATTGCAAGGTGGAAACTTTTATTTTTATAGGATGGGATTTCCGACTCCAAGCTACCTAAGAACACTGAACCTACTGTAATTTTTAGCCTAGACTTAACACCCTCAGGGTTTTTGTACATCATGTGAACTTTTTTTTCGCTGCTTAGAGTTTTTAAAACTGTGAAGAAAAAAATATTCCTCAGTCTTATACACTCTCAGCAGCTTGGTGAAGTCTCAGTACAGCTGTATTCGCTGAGTCACCCATCAGCTGGTGTTGCCGAGGGATCTCATACGTGATATCCCCGTTAGCTGGAATAATTGGTGTAGAGCTCTTCTGGGGATGAGAGATTTCCGGGTACCAAGACAAATGTCTCAAACCCGGAAAAATCCCACATCCCTGGAATTTTTCCGGGTACTGTACTACTGGGAAATGTTTCCGAGAGTCTAAGACAGACACTATTGTACATTCCTGGAAGGTTTCCAGGGTCTGGGGAAATTTTCTCTGGATTCTAAATTATGCAAGAGTCGGAAGTGACTGAAGAAAATTAATATGTCATCATTTTATTAACTACTTTAATGTATAAAGCAGCATACAGTATTTATATTTAAAAAAAAATCAACTGGAGATAAGACCAACCTCACCTTGTGAAAGAGGCATCACACCAGTAATATAAAACTTTCCAAAATCGTAAATCAAATCAAAACAAAATAACACCAAAGTAATATACAGTAGAATAACAATTATTATATAAATATTAACAAAAAGAATTGAAATCAGAAACTTTGAATAAAATAGAAATTCAACACCGATTGGAACTCTAGCACCACTTGTGTACTCCCAGTCTTCATTGATATACCAGCTAACATTTTAGGCGTTGCTGATTGGTTGATATCTCCTACGTCATCATCAGCAACACACAGCACTCGGTACTTGTAGAAGATCTGAGATTATCCAGTGCTGTGGCACCACTAAATAGCATAATTACAGAAATAGAAAAAATTTAACAAATCAAGAGTTAGAAACAATATATATGTGATGTTTTTAAAGAAAGAGAAACAATTGAGACCCTGCAATTGTGTGTTAATGAGGCAGAAAGTCAGATCAGCAACCTGGGACTTGGTTACAATTTTTGTGATGCCTTTTGTAAGTACTCTTTGTTGACACAAGGAATTATAAATGTGTACCTTATGGCACGGCTGTTATTAAACCGAGTACAGGTACCGTACAGTACATCATTTGGAAGAACTCTCCCACTTGCAATTGTGCTTGATGGAAAACTTTTTTATGTTCAGGATGAAGTATACTGTTTAGATCAGGGGTTCTCAACCAGGGGTGAATTTCCCCACTCAGGTTTTCAGGGGAGGGGAAAACTGATACTAATATGGAAAAAATAAAGGATTTTCAGTATTATATGCATATTATTTGGAATGCACTTTTTGAGGCAGACAATCTTGGAAAGGAGGGGGAATGACATTCTGACATATGGTGAAAGGGGTGCATGGGGCAAACAAGGTTGAGAACCACTGGTTTAGATCAATGGTTCCCAAACTTTTTAACATGGTGTCCCCCTTTTGCAAAGTCCTCATCCCCCCCCCCCCTTATAAACAAGCAACTGGAAGCAGTCGGCAACATCAGTCGTTTCATCACACTGTATTGCAAAAAAGCGGGATGCTTTTATTTTGTCCAAGACTTGTAATCTGCAAGTTCATCGATGCGATGCTTCACTGTGTTTTCAGACAGGGAAATCTTAGATAACCTTTTCTGACTTTTGTCTCCAAGCACAATATTTGCAGCACTCAACAAGCATGGTTTTACAAGAGTCTCCCCAATAGAGTGAGCCTTCTTTGCTCTGGCAATAAGTAGTGACAGCTCGTAAGAAGCTTCCACCACTTTGAATGTCTCCTGATGAAAAGCTCCAGTGGTGTCCAGCTTCATACGTTTTAACTCTTGAAGTTTGGCTGTGAAAAACTCCTTTGGCTTGTCTTTTAATGCATTGTGGTTTGTGTTCAAATGTCTCCAGACGACCAGGTTGTAAGGTATCATTGCTGAGAACTGCATGGCATTCGACACACTGAGGGAGGTGAATCCCATGTTTCTCAATAACGGTGAAGCCAAACTTGACACACCCATCTATATACTTTCTTTTCTTCACGACATACATTTCTGCAAAGTGTCATAAAACACACTGCATGGTCACACACCTAACTAAAAGGCTGATTAAATAAGAAACCATAATAAACTTTCTCGTGGAGTGGGTATTACACATCACACCATAGTTCTAAGGAAAATTAATTTTAAAAATCATTAAAAGAGAAGAAATCCAGACTAAAACACACAGTTTGAGATAAATCTTAACATCCCGTAACTGAAGATGAGGGAGGATCGGTGGCTGGTGGTGTTGTGAAAGATACGAGTAGTGCGAGTCAGTATGGTGTCCATGACATGTACAAGACGTGTAAGGAGAGAGAGATGAAATGATAGAAAACGGATAGGGGTGACTGCTATACTTTGGTTTTGCACGGGTATGTGTAAGATTCAAACGGAGAAAAGGTTACTCCTGAAAGAGTTTCTTCATTGTATTCTTTTTGAGCAAAAAATAGCAAATTTTGGCAGATGGCTTCACACCTCCCCTGTACTCACCTCACGTCCCCCCAGTTTGGGAACCACTGGTTTAGATGAAATGACTTGGTACAGTACTTTAGTGCCCAACATATTTTTGTACTAAGTTATGAATTTAGATAAATTCATCATAATTTATTTTTAATTTCAGGGTTGGAAACATGAGAAGGTTGTTCGTATCATGGGTACTCTGGATGAACGAGTTATAATGGTCTCTTCAGAAGATCCTGTGCACTATTGGCGGAAAGTGGAGGAGATACGGCAGATAGTTGACACTGAGCTAGGCTTTTCAGAAAATTGTATTCGAACCAAGGAGAACACCAAAGTCTTTTTTTACATATTAAAACAAAGAATTGTTGGTTGCCTTATTGCTGAGAGGATCAGCAAAGCTTATAAAGTCATTCCACAGAAGTCCTCAACCCCAAACAAAGGACGTCTAGTATGTCGCTCAAACACCCCAACAAAAGTATGGACTGGTATCAGCCGTTTGTGGGTCCTTCAATCTGAGCGAGGGAAAGGTATTGCCAGTACACTGGTAAATTCAATGCGAGCTAACATGATGAAAAACTATATCCTGAATATAGATGAAATTGCCTTTTCTGATCCCACAGAAAGTGGCCTTGGATTTGCAGAAAAGTACACGGGTAAACCGGATTTTCTTGTGTATAGTCAAGAATTGCTTTAATTCTTATATGTACAGTGAATTAAAGGATGTAGTCTCGTAATTTTTAAGTTGTGAATTAATGTGGGGAAATTATATTTTTATCAGTATTTTTATTTTCATGTTGCTTTTGACTGGTAGCTGCAGGGAAACTTAATTTATGCTCATTTAGCTTTGAAGAGAAAAGTTTAATTTTATTTGTGAATGTACAATAAAAGAAATTATCTTTGAAGCCTTTTCACCTTAAGTTTGGAGAAATATAAGAATATTTTGTTCTTTTAAGTTTAGATCATAAAAATAATAAGTGCTTCCTGTTTTTATATGGTATACTATATGCACTGAAACCTCACAAATTTAATATTTTTTCTCAAAGAATTTATGAGAACATTTTAGCAGTTTTGGGAAAAAATATCAAATTACTCCAAAAACTGTCAAAACAACCCACATGACTTCCTTCATATGGGGAGAAAAAAAATCATCTACTCGTCTTATATAATTTTCAGCTCTTTTAAAGATTCAAAAGGAAATCTAGCGATTATGAAAATTGACTGATGCACAGAAAAGGAGATATGACAAAAATACTGTTGGTAGTTCTGCAGTCTCCAATTTATGTCACTGAAGCAAGGAAAACAAGAAATCAGTCTGGCAGGAGGATAACCTTATGGTATTTTTGGCTTAAATTTAAGGCAAAGTAAATGAGAGAGGCAGAGGAGATAGTGGTGTAATGTCTTGTGTCTCACCCATCTCAAAGGGTTCCATTCCATGCAACAGTTTCATACCTTAAGGAAGTGATATAGGAGGTGCAACACTCATTATACAGTACCTATTGTATTTTATATATTCCTATTATTATTGACGTCGTACAAGTGTAAGTATGCATTCTTCTCAAAACCGTGTTAGGTTTTCCTCATACAAGGTTACCCACTCTCAAAAATCAATTGAGGCAAGTTGTACCAAAAAATATGGAATTTTGTGATAGTTTCAATGTGTTGGGATAATTCAATATTTCTGGCTGATTCAATTATCCCAGAGCCCTAGTGATATCTTTGAGGGTTCAGTGTATATTTATATAGAGTAAATTTATCTGTGTCACAAAGTAAATATAATTTCAAAATAATTCTCTCTCTCTTTCAGTTGTTTTTAATTATACACTATAAATGAAATCACATCTTTCATAACTAAATCTTAATTTAGGTTGGTTGGTAAACAACAAATTGAACCTAATACTCATTAATTTCTTTGGAATTGTCACCGTAAAAGCAAAAAAAAAAATTATCCTTATTTAGTGTGACTTCTCTTTCTTTCTCTCTTTATTCTCATCTCTTCTCTCCCTGCTCTTTCCTTCCCTTTTCCCTCCTCATCATTTCTTCACTCCACTCCATTTCTTTCTCCTCTCACCCAATACAAGATTCAGTTAAAAGGAAATAGATGTCAACTCAACAAGCACTGAATATTCACTTGAAATAGGTAGTCACATATTTTAGACAGCCATATAAACTTTATAGGTAAAGTGATCATTTAGAGAAAGGAGGCCACAAGGAGAGATCTGTTCATTGATACAATAAGTTCACTCATTGTTTCACCTTGAATTTTATACCTAACATTCAAGTTCCATGAAAGAACAAAATCCTAAACCTTGAATCAGCATTTTTATCTGTAAGTGTTGGGATTTAATGTGTCTTGCTGAAGAATTGATCTCTGTACAGCTAGACCCCGACTTACGACTGCTTGGACTTACGACCGTCGGGACTTACGACATAAATAATTTTTTTTTTTTTTTTTTCCAAATGACACGAATTTTCTATACTGTACTGTATCCATTCCTCATTATTTATTACTTTTACTGTACTGTATTTCATTGTAGATTTTTTATTAATTTTTTTTTTTTTATCTATGTCGGACTTACGACCAGGATTTGGGTCCCTAACCCCGTCGTAAGTCGGGGTCTAGCTGTATTATATTTCTTCAATAATTCAACCACTTATGTTTTAACAATTCAGATTATTTAGATCTGTTTCAATTTTAGGGTACAGTAATGTATTTATGTTCATTTTTGTGTGTAAATAAAGGAAAAGTTATTCATGGCATTTTATTTTTTATTCCATTTGTTAATGTTGAAAATTTGTACTGTAAATAAGAGGGCATGTCAACCTAAGTCCTAAGCTTTGTCTGTCTTTCCCCCTTACCAGTCTAAGTTTTTTTTTTGAGGGGGGTGGGGGGATATAAGCGAGTGTTTTTTTTTTACAGGGATTAGCCCACCCGAGCACAGATCACTGACCCTCATTGAGGCCTGGGGACGCGAAAACGTAATAATAATAATAATTAGTTCAAAGTAATTAAAATTTATAATAAATACAAAATTAAAAAATAAATAATAACTGATAACAAAAATATTAAAGAACCATAAAGTTATAAAGAAATGAAAAAGATCAATAGTGAGAAACGATATATTTATAGTATGTTGTGTTGTCAAAGAAAGAAACCAGTGAGACCCTGCAATTGTATGTAATGAGGCAGAAAGTCAGATCAGCAACCTGGGACTTGGTTACAATTTTTGTGATGCCTTATGGCAGCAGGGTCTACCATTAGACAACACATAATGCCTCCAATATCTTCCCAGGCAATAGTACCTCCCAGTTTGGTAGCTGCCTACTACCTGTGTGTGTAGCTTTATTAATCATAATATAAAATAAGAAAATAAAATAAAAAAAGAATCATTGTGAGGTCTTTTAGCAGCTGCACTCTTTATATTTCTATAGCAGTACGACTATGGGTCACTGTCTTCCCTTTACTGATAGGTTTACATATTTAAGCCGAATTTCACCATCCTATGCTTCAATATCAATTGGTTTCCATCAAAATTGCATCTATTTTCACTGTTGGCATTTGTGCATTTACAATTGCATCTCCCAGACACACAAGTGTCACTCAAGGCTGCCAGACATGCACCATGATAAGCTTTTCATGGCTTTTGAAAAGAAACTGAGCAGCTGTGAAGTTTGAGGTTGAATTATTACTGTTGGCAACATACAGCTCCAGGATATTGAAACTAGACAGGATGCATCAGTCCGTATCTTGTTACTGGGTAGGACTAGTCCCAAGTGCATAAAGTTTATGGGTAGGACTCGCCCAAATGAGAGCCACAGATAAGAGTTCAGCCAACCGGGAGCCATGTTACTCAGCGGTTGGGAAGTCTTCTCGGGCTGTCTCACACTTAGTTTATATATATATATATATATATATATATATATATATATATATATATATATATATCCCAAGTCATTTATATAAGGTGTTATTGTTTTCGTGCTCGTGATACATTACAGTGTTAGAAGTATACCACGAACAACATATTGTCACAAAATATATACTACAAGTATTTAGGTAGAGTAATATTTTATAAAGAATAAGTCAAATTAAATTATAATTTATATTAAATTAGGTCTTTTTTACTTATATAATCTGAAATATAAACTGTTTTGAGGACTAATACATGCTACTATTTTTAACATTGCCCAGTATACCATTGAAGTAAAGCTAAACAGTGTTGCCAACCGTAGGATAATTCAGCCTCATTTCCTGGTCTGTAGGGCGGTATATACATATGCTATTTACCGGTATATAAATAAAAGCAGTACCAACTAGTATATTAGTATTTTTATATTGAGCCGTAGGGTAATGAAGGGGAATATAGGGTAATTTCAGTGTGTGTGTGTCGGGCGGGGAGGTGTTGGCAACACTCACCTCACACAGTGTACACGTGAGACACACCACTAGAGGAGCCATGTACCTGAATTATTACCTAGACGACCAGGGCAAAAGGGTTTACACCCTTGCAGTAAGTATTGTCTAAAGTTGTATATAATCATAGTACTATTAGCTCTTGTTTATGATAATTTTATCACGAGTATTGAGGACATTTACGCTTGTGTTAAGAGAGTCCTCCCCAACTCTGAAACGGACAACACATAAGAATGGAGGAAACTGCAGCGGGCCTATTGGTCCATACTGGGCAGTCCCGTTTACACCCAACCCCTATTGCTCATATAAGCATCCAACCTATGTTTGAAGCTACCCAGCGTATTCGAGTTAATGATGATATTTGGTAACTTGTTCCATTCATCCACTACTCTGTTCCAAACCAATGTTTACCTATTTCACGCCTAAATCTAAATTTGTTTAATTTAAAACCATTGTTACGAGTTCGCTCCTGGTTGGATAGTTTGAGTACCTTTGTTTAGTCCTGCCTTCCACTTATACACCTCTATCAGGTCGCCCCTCGCTCTACGTCTCTCGAGGGAGTGCAAATTAAGATGCTTTAACCTGTCTCTATACTCAAGGTTCCTAATGCCCGGGATTAGTCTTGTCATTCTCCTCTGAATTCTTAACAAGGATTCTATATCCATTCTGTAATACGGTGACCAGAACTGAACTGCGTAATCCAGGTGTGGTCTCACAAGAGCAAGATACAGTTTTAGGATGACCTCGCTAGTCTTGTAACTAACACTCCTTTGTATGAACCCAAGTACTTTATTAGCCTTGTTACGAGCAAAAACACATTGTTTGCTTGGCTTAAGGTTCCTACTTATCATTACTCCTAAATCTCTCTCGCAGTCGGATTTCTCTATGGCATCGTTGTTCATCTGATATCTGGTTTCCCTGTTTACATCTCCTATACTGAGTACTTTACATTTGTCCACGTTGAATTTCATCTGCCATTTTTCAGACCATTCGAAAAATTTGTTTAGATCTTCCTGTAGTTTTGCGGAGTCCTCGACAGATTTAATAATACGTCCTAATTTAGTGTCATCAGCAAATTTACTTATGTTGCTGTCTATGCCGATATTTATGTCGTTTATGTATATAATAAATAATAATGGTCCAAGTACTGAGCCTTGGGGAACTCCACTAGTGACGTTGCTCCAATGGGACTTAATGCCAGCTAGGGGTCAGGTTAGGCCTACCGGGGGTCCCAAGGCTGAGCTCCCGGCTAGGAGTTAGGTTAGGTTTTGTTATGGCAGATGACTCGTTTTCGTGTTCTCCCCCACCCAAAACCCCGATTTTCCAGGCTCTCCCCATTGTCGTTGGGGGGTCGGGGTGGGGTAAAAATGAGCAATTTCCGCCAAAAATGAAGGTGAGATTCGTTTAAAACACACCAAAATACACTGGAAAAACATATTGGTCAACCCCAAGGGACTCATGTCCTAAAGTAAAAATTTACTGTATATTTAAAAATATGACAACTTTCTCGCATAATTTTAAGGCGCTGTTTTTGTTGTTTACTTCGCTGAAGCCCTCTTCAAGAGACGTTTCCTATAAATGATGGTGAACGTTTCCACTTATTCCTCCTGATGTATATGAACCTCAATGTTAAGGTAAGTTGTTTAACACATAAATTAACACGATAATACATAGGACCTGACCTAACATACCCAACCTATGGGTATGTTAGGTTAGGTTCTGTGTATTATCGTTTCCATTTCTGTGTTTATAAGCATGCAATTAGTGTGTAGAAAAAAATTCAACGATTTCTTAAAACTCCTTCTGGTCTTAGCCCTAAACTACACGTTTACCCAATAGTCGGTTAATATGCTGTATAGGACTAACCCGCGGATGAGTTATTTTTATTACTGTTTATTTTCTTACATTATTTTCATCAATGAGTTCTGATATGATAATAATTTATTGTGGAAATTGTTCGTTTCATAGATACTTAGGTGCCTAGGCGCGCACTCATTTGTCTTGCAGGCGGTAATGAGGCCGCGATTAGCTGAGGCCCTTTGACCGCGCCCAGGGCAGTTTGTTTTTCAGCATTGTCACCGGTCTTACATGTACGTAATTTGCGAATTTAGGGATAAAGACGACGAGACCCTTCAATTGTTTAAAGATCACGGCATTGTTCCTTTGAATAGAGGCTGTCCATACTGCGGGAATTTCTGTGCTTTCAGACCGGAAGGAAATTTGTTCATTACTTCCTCAACTCTGTGGCTCGATATTTCCCACCATCACAATAAATCACTCCGCCGCTTGGGCTGCATAAAGCCAATGCGGCCATATCATCTCACGTCCAGAAAATGCCTCAAATTTCACCAGGTCATAGTAAGTTCTTTCTGTTTAATATGGGGTCCGGGGGTAAGGAAGTTAGATAAGGTTAGGTAGGTTTGTTTGGTTTGTTTGGTTTGGCCTTTTCTTCATACCCACAAATGTTAAGTAACGTTTATTTTAAAAATTAAAATTTTAAAATATTCCCACAAACTACAACAGTGTCCACTATAATATAATAATGGATTTCCTGCGTTTTTATAATTGTTTTCAATCAATTTTGCTCGCAGGCTAGTCCTATACAAGTATAATTACTGAATAGTCTGAATAATGAAAAAACGTGTTTTCAATTAAGAAATTGTTTTTGGTTCGCAGGTTCCCACCTTGTTCACCTGAGGCTATATTCCTCACTTAGAGTCACTTGTCTCACCCTTTCCTCCTCCTTGTAGGTTAGATTAGGCGAGGTAGGTTGGTTCCTTTGGTATGTAAAATTATCTTTTCAATCATGTAGCAAATTTTAGGATTTTAAGTTTTGGAATCAATAGTTTAGACAATTCTAAGACACTTTTCTTCTATAGTGGATCCGTCGGAAACTTTTATTTGTCGAGTAGGTCACTAAGAAAACCAGGTTTTGGTTAGGTTACGTTAGCACCATAAACGAAGGTCAGATTCGTTTGAATCACACCAAGAACCAAAGGAAAAACGAATTTTATTTGAAAAAATCGAAACCTGGCTACTATCATAAATTGACCTTTGAGTGTTTTAATTGATAAAATTACCAATTACCAAAATTACCTCTACTTGTTTGAAGTAGAGGGAAAATGTAGGGTAAAATACTAAAAAGACACTAAACAAACTTTTGTAAACCTGACCTAACGTTTCCTAACCTTTAAAAATCCTAAAACTATAAAAAAATTATCTTATTCATGCTTTTGGTGTTTGTTATGTGATGGTGTTGTTTTCGGTTTGGGTAATTATTCGTTACAGCACACACTCGAATATTTTTGTGAGATGTTTGATTTCTTATGTATTTTGATGTGTTTTGATCAGATTTGATCTTCATTTCCATGGGAAATGCGTTGTTAAAAAAAAAAGAAAAAAAAAAGATGCAAGTCATCCTTGATCAAAAACTGCTATTTTCCATAAAAACAACGATCTGAACAAAATACATCCAAATACATCAGAAACCAAACACCTAGACCCCTAACTTGCACTAAATTAACCTAACCTAATCTCACCTCACCTAACCCCTGCAGGGGCCTCTAATCCCTACGCTCAGTGTGACAAGCCTCACGGCTCCACGGTGGGACAAGAAATGACTGGTGGAGATTTATTGATCTAATTTCATAGGCATTCCTCACTTGTGTGATTTTTCTGAAAGAAACATGTTTCCAAAAGGCTTCAAGGGTGAGGAATGTAATATACAGGCAGTCCCCGACTTACGACTGGGTTAGGGACCCAAATCCAGGCTGTAAGTCGAAAATGCGAAAATAATTCATAGAAAATCTAAAATGGGTGTCTTTTTTTCTTCTCAGCACCTCAAAACTCTCACTTTTAAGCATGCCAGCCATTTTAAAGGGAATTACAAATTAAAGTTTTGTCAGTACACAGCGCAATCACTAACGTCGGGACTCGAAAATACGTAATTTGAAAAATTTTTGGTACGACTGGGGCGGTTGTGTGTCCGGTTGGTCGTAAGTCGAGGAGTACCTGTACTGTATGAGGTAGAAATTCCCTAAAAGTAAGTACAGTACAGCCACTCCTCGACTTACAACGGGGTTAGGGACCCAAATCCAGGTCGTAAATCGAAAATGCGAAGATAATACATAGAAAATCTAAAATGGGTGTCTTTTTTCTTGTCAGCACCACAAAACTCTCACTTTAAGCATGCCAGCCATTTTAAAGGGAATTACAAACGAAAATTTTGTCAGTACACAGCGCAATCGCTCACGTCGGGACTCGAAAATACGTAATTTAAAAAAATTTGGTGCGACTGGGGCGTCGTATGTCGAGTAAGTCGAGGTAACTGCCTAGACCCCGACTTACGACGGGGTTAGGGACCCAAATCCAGGTCGTAAGTCCGATATGGTCGTAAGTCCGATATAGATAAAAAAATAAAAAATAAATAAAAAAATTTTCAAAAAAAAAAAAATTCAAAAATTTTTTTTTTCAAATTTTTTTTAAAAATCTACAATGAAATACAGTACACTAAACGTAAAAAATAATGAGGAATGGATACAGTACAGTAAAAGTAATAAATAATGAGGAATGGATACAGTGTGACTGAGCACTTACCTTAAATGTAGTCAGCTGAATGCACACAGGGCCCCCATAATTTTCTATTTACAGGATACATGGAGACTATATTAATTGGAAGAAGCAGAAGAGGAGACAGGGCTGGGTGGGTCATCAATGTCGCTTCCTTCAGACAGGTTTATGTACTGTGGTAACTTGCTGGTTGAAGGTATTGGATCATCTTGAGGGAGTGAAGAGGCAGCACTGGTGGGGCGTGAGGAGCCAGTACTGGGGGACTTCTTGAAATAGGTGTCCAATTTAGACTGCACAGTTTTCTTTTTCTTTTCATTATAAATTTCTCTGTAGCAAGCAAGTGAATCTTGGATCATTCTGTCAACTTTGGCATAACGCTCATAATTTTGATCCATGCCATCAAACATTTGCATTCCTTTATTAATTGTAGCAAATGCCTCTGCCATATGTTTCACTGAAAACTTTTTGGGGGGTGCAGGCTCTTCTTCTACATTTTGTCTCTCTTCTTCCTCTGCAACTTTCTGTGCATCTAGTTCAATAAGATCCTCGTTACTGAGCTCTTCTGCTACACTTTCAACCAACTGTCCAACATCTTCAGTATCAATTTCTAACTCCAGCTGTTTACCTAAGTCCACTATCTTGTTACTAATATCCAAAATAACTTCACTTTCATTAAATCCTTTGAAACTGTTCACATATCTTTTCAGGATTTTCTTCCATATTCCATTCATGCAATGTTTTGTAACCTGATCCCATGCTGCACTAATGTTCTTTATACATGACAAAATGTTGTACTCCTTCCAAAACTGTCTGAGCGTTTTCTCACCTTCAGTAGCAGCAACAGCCTGAGCGAAGGTCGTGCGTAAATAATATGCTTTAAAGGCAGAAATAGCACCTTGATCCATGGGTTGGATGATAGAGGTAGTGTTAGGTGGCATGTACACTACCTTAACATCAGGGTGCATGTCGTCCAGGTGTGGTGGGTGTCCCGGAGCATTATCCAAAATCAGTAAAATCTTGAATGGAATCCTTTGTTGCAGACAATACTCCTTGGCTCGTGGAATGAAACAAGTCATGAACCAATCCTCAAATAGTACTAGGGTCATCCAGGCTTTCTTGTTACTGCGATAAAACACTGGCAGTGTGTGCTTGCTGACATGTTTAAAAGCCCTGGGGTTCTCTGAATGATAGATCATGAAGGGCTTTAGCTTGAAACCAGCAACATTCCCCCCCAACAGAAGTGTAATTCTGTCCTTGAATGCCTTGAATCCGGGCATTTTTTTTGCCTCTTTGTGGATGTATGTCCGGTCAGGCATGCGTTTCCACAATAATCCAGTCTCATCCACATTGAATATTTGCTCTGGCAAATAATTCCCTTCCACAATCACATCATCTAACTCCTCCTTAAAAGCTTCGGCAGCACCAACATCGGCACTAGCTGCCTCTCCACTCACCTTAACACTGTGTAGACTGTAGCGTTTTTTAAATCTATCAAACCACCCTTGACTTCCTGTAAAGGTTTGATCACATTCATCTCCTGCCTGCTCCTTCAGGCTTTGGAACAGGCTTCTTGCTTTAGCCTGTATGGTTAGAACACTTAAGGGTACACGCTTCTGTATCTGGTCTTCTATCCATATCACCAATAATTTTTCCATATCGTGGATAGGACCTTGTCTTTTCTTTGTTATTATAGTTCCCTTTATAGGTGTTGTTCCTTTCACTACTTCACGAATACGTTCCTTGTCCTTCAGAATAGTGGATATAGTCGAGTGTGAGAAACCTAGGTCGCGTGAGATTGTTGCTACTGTTTTTCCATTCTCATACTGTGTTATTATCTTCAGTTTCATCTCAAAAGTAATTGCCTGTCTCCTTTTCCTTGGAGTACCACCAGCACTCTCACTTTTACGCTTTCCAGTCATTATAAAGTCAATTAAATACAATAATAACGAAAGTTCACAGCGCGATCAGTATAGGATACGATAGCCAAACACAAACAAAGCGCTCCACTGAGTGAGTGCAGCCACGAGGCGACCCAAGCCACCCCTCCCTCTCGCCCGGGACGGAAACGTTTCGGTATAGAAAATGCGCGCGTCATTTGAAAAAATTTTTGGTCACGGCGGTCGCAGTCGTATGTCGTGGACGACGTCCAGGTCGTAAGTACCATTGGACGTAAGTCGTATCGTAAGTCGGGTTTAGGTGTACTTCTATGCAATTTAAACATGTGCTAAACTGAATAATAACTTCAGTTTTTAGTATGTGTTGTTTTCAGTGTTCAGATGAGGAGGGATCCATAAACTCGAAAGTGATTATTCAAATTTTTACAAATTAGGAAACATTCAGGTAAGGTTTTCAAAGGTTTGTTTGGTGTTTTTTTTAAGTATTTTACTAGAAAGCCTTGCTCACTTTGACCAACTAATATTGTGGGTAATTTTATCGGTTAAAATACTAAAAGAAATATAAATTTACTGCAGAAGTGTCTTAGAATTGTTTAAACTACTGATTCCCAAACTTAAAATCCTAAAATTTGCCACATGACCAAAATGATAATAATACCTTTGGTATGAGAAAAGGTTTTTTTTTTGTGTTTATTGGTGTGTTTTATTTAAATCTGACCTTTGGGGGGGGGGTGGGAATTGGTAGTTTCTGTTAAACACAAAAATTTAAATTTTTGGCAAAAACCGCTAATTTGGACGAATATTTAACCCACATAATATACCTTTTTTATAGGTGAAATTTCATTGAAAATCTTCATAGTTCTTGAATTTTTGGGTTTTGGTCATTTAATGTTCATTTAGATATGTGTCCTGTGATTGTTAGGAATATAGGAAGAGAGATTGTAAGAGGCCATGTAGCATGGAGAGCTGCCATCAGGTAATCGCGGCAACCCACACAAGTGTGGAAAATGGCTGTAAAAGAATGATGATATTACTTTATCTGTGATATCTGCTGTCTGTAAGTTGCTATTATTAAAAAGTTATATGCTAATGCTCAATCACTTGAATTTATCTTTTTGTCTTTCTTTTACAGAAAACAGATCCTACTGGAAAACCATGTTTCTCAGCACACCCTGGTAAGATTTTCTGCTAACAATTTAGATTGCAAATGCTAGTACAGTACAGCGGAGTTGCAATAGTTCGTGAAATACAAATTCACTGGGTCTTAAATTTTGCTAAAAAAATTCATAATTCGCTGCCGAGTGCTGGTTACCGCAGTAATTATTTACATAGGGAAACCATAAAAGTTATGGAAATATCATTTCAGTGCTTTAATTTGACTTTGAAATAAAGAAAATATAATATGAAGCTATAAGATAAGAAAACATGAAGAGTGGGGAGTGAATTGTGTGAGGAAGAGGTAGAACTTGACGGAAATTACCCAACTCACGACCCCTTTACTGTATATCAACATTATGCTATTTCACCTTAATTCTCATACAGTAGAATTTTGATATAACACGAGATACGTTCCAAGAGAGGTCGCTTTAAACCAAATTCGCACTAAATCGAAGTGTTGTTTCAATGGAATAAATTAGTTTGGTACTTGAGAGAAACACAAAATACTAAAACGACTGAGAGTCTACCCAGATGCACCTCAGCCCATTTCCTAAAATAAACAAAACATTGTTTTTTGTAGTACAGGTTGTACCTCTCTAGTCCGGCATTCTGTGGTCCGGAAACTCCCGTGGTCCGGAACGATTTTAGTTTGTCCAATAGGTAGATAGGCAGCTTTATTATTATTTTTTTTTTTTTTTTACGTATCTGAATTATTATTATTATTATTACAGGAGTATTAAATTTTTGCCCCCCAGGCCCTAATGTGGGTCAGTGACCTATTCCCGGGTGGGCTAATCCCCTTAAAAAAAAAAAGCCGCGGGAAATTACGGTTTGTTTACATCCGGCAGTTCGGCTGCTCTCTCTCTCTCTCTCTGCTTGTCTATACAGAGTACAACATTTAACCCTTCAATATATATGAGCAGTAAATAAGTGTTGCTTTCATATTCTTATGTAGAGTAATGACGATATATTTTCACATGTGCGCACTTACATACGAGCAGTCTCACTTTTTTTTTTTACCATTAATGGTTAGCTACTTATATTGTTCCATTTATTAACATTAAATAACATTACAGGTACTTCAAGCAACCATATTCATTTTTTTACATTAATTTTACTACAGCTAAACTCAGGGTCTTATTTTCTTCAGTTTTATATGTAGAACCAATCAGCACTGGTTTCGTAAGCTTTAACATAAACAATGCCGGCAGCCGTCTCGTCTCCTCTAATATTCCACGTATTATTAATAAATTGTATTGTTAATTTTGCACACACGTACATTAATTTAATAAAAACAAATTCAGAAACATTAATTAAAATATATATGAACAGTAAATAAGTGTTGCTTTCATATTCTTATGTAAAGTAATGATGATATGTTTTCACGTGTGCGCATGCGCACTTACATATGCGATCTCTCTTTTTTCTTTACCATTCGTTAGCTACTTCTATTGTTCCATTTATTAACATTAAATAACATTACTTAAAACAACCATATTAATTTTACTACAGCTACAACCAAGGTCTTATTTTCTTCAGTTTTATATGTAGAACCAGTCAGTCACTGGTTTTGTAATCAACGAATACAGTGCTGTGTCATTTCCTCGTGTGTTTTAATATTCTACGTATTATTAATGAATTGTATTGCTCATTTTGCACACATAAACATTAATTCAATAAAAAAGACATTCAGTAATAAACAATAATGAATCTTTTGTACATAAGAGAAATGACGCTGTTCACACGATTATGCACGTCGTCTGCACGTTGGCGGGCCATTCAAACCCGTCGAAATTCAAGTTTCCGCCGTCAAAATTTTTATTTATTTTTTTGTGTGTTCCAATAAAATACGTTAAGAATTAAAAACTCGCGAAATTTGAGAAGCTACTACACGACATTTAACCCTTCAATATGTCTTCAAAGAGACCATGATGCAGAGAAAGTGGTGCTAGTGCTTCCAGGCTTAAGCACAAGTCACTATCTATCCAGGAAAAGGGTGAATTTCCATGGTCCGGCAATTTCCATGGTCCGGCACCGGTCAGGTCCCGAGGTTGCCGGACTAGAGAGGTACAACCTGTATTATGTTAAAACAAACACTCATAAATCAACACAGCTAAAATTATGGGACATGAAATGGTCTGTTTACTAGCGATCAGCTGATGGGGGGGAGGTGAGGTGATATATTTGACAGTTGATGCCAAGGTTTGGTGCTTATTTATTTATCTCTCCTTAAGAGTGAGTTTAAGTTTTTCTCTTGTAAAATGTCACTGAACTGACATGTCTTATTAATTTTATTACAAAGGGTTAAAATTTTTATCTCGTGCAAAATATATGATGTTTATTTTCAAATTATTCGCTGTCTTGCAAGGATTCTAGCAATGCAAATTATATTCTCCTAACTTTAGCCTGTGATATTATGTAAGATAAAAACTGTAAGCCTATAGCCATCCAACCCTGGCTGGGAAGATTGGGGGGGGGGTGACAGTGACACGTTTTAAATTAAAACATTGTCCTTAATTGTGGGTGTCGCTTTAAATCAATAATCTTAAATTGAATTGCTTTAAATCGACGTTCTGTTGTACAGGTACTACGTAGGTTCATACTACAGTATGTTGGTTATTATTATTATTTTTTTTGGGGGGGGGGGTGTAAATAATAAATTTTCCTGAAAAAAAATCCCACATCTGACCAGCCAGCCCTGGCACCTGCCTGTCTCCATATTTGTGTAATGGTGTTGCCTAGAGGATTATTATGAAAAGGGAAGGAGTTGTTTATGTGATATATAGAAAACTTTTTGTGCGCTAATTTTGGAAGTTTATGATGTCTTCGGGTATATAACCACTGAATTATTGCGATTTACTGTATATATGTTACAGTCAAACCGTGTAATTTTTTAGCAAAATGATTGCTTCTCTTGGGTTAGGTTTGGACGTAGCCGAATGTAATGTAATGTAATATGACATACAGGCACTCCACGAATTACGATCATCCACACTTATGATGATTGCCCTATTATATTCTTTAAAAAAATAAAAAGCGACATAACCATTTGTAATATTTACAAATCAAGCATGGAGCGCTCTACCTTGTTCAGCACACCGCTTCAGCCCTCTCACTGAGCCAGCTAACTTGTGTGCAAAGAAATTTTATATATTCCCTTTATTTGTTTCCTCTTATGACAATTATTTCTTTTACCTTTTTTCTTCACAATATGTATGTTGGATGGTGTGTACATGTAACTGAGTAAAAATAAATGAAGAAAGGTTCGTATATCTACCAAAAAATACGAGTTGAAAACAACTATAACACCTCACAGCTTGGCTCAGTAGCCTGGTGGTTACAGTAATGAGTCTAACCTGACTACAATGCCACCAGTGATGTCAGCAGATGCAAATGTGAAAAGAAAGTTATCAGTAAATCTTCATTTGTATCAATTATTACATCACAAATTTTTTAAAATAAGGAGTGAGAAAGCAAAAAGGTGTGGATGATTTGAGAGATGGAATGAAAAGGAGTTTTGCCAAGCACTCCTTAACAGCTGATCTTTAACTCGCTACCATGCAATCACACACTTGTGCATCAGTACATATTTTATTGGGAATTTACAATGTTCCGAGTTATGAACAGATCGACTTACGATTAGGGTCCAGGAACGTATCCCTGTCGTAAGTCGGAGAGTGCCTGTACTGTACTATAGTGTTATGAACAGTTCTGTAAGTATACATCATCCTTTTAATTTGCTTTAACAAACACATCATTGTTAAATTATCTTGACAATTTTATAAATTTGTGATACTTGTACAGATATTTTGTTCTTCATATACTGTACTGGTATAAAGTGATATCTCCATTAGCCGGAACAATTGTTGCAGAGCACTTCCGGGATTGAGAGATTTCCAGGTAACGAGACGACTCTCAAAGCTGGAAAAACAAAATTCCTCATCCCCAGAATTTTTCGGGTAATGGAAACATGTTCTTGCAAGTTCCAGAATAATGCAATATTTCATCTCTCCAATCCGGAAAAATATCCCCCATCCCCGGAATTTTCTGGGTATCTGAAAAAAATTCTTGGAATTTCCGGAAATTGCTCCCGACTTTCATCTTTCAAACCCAGAAAAAGGCTCCCCCATCCCCAGAATTTTACTGGTTCTGGGAAAATTTTCTTGAAATTTTCCAGAAAATGTGCACCTCGGAAAATTTCAATTACCACTATCGGAGAGTTCCGTGTTTGAGGGATTCCGACTAATGGAGATACTGTACTCTGTACAGGTATTACTGTATTTGTGTTAAATTCATGAAGTTGAACTTGATATGAGTACAGTATAGTCTTCATTTACGCGGATTTTGTTTACGCGTTTGGTCATTTATGCGGCGCCTTGCCAGAATGACAATTTTAAATTACGTGGTACATTCCATCATATGGACTTCGAGGGGTTTGACAAAGAGGCCCTGCAAGCCTCTGTGGTGGATAGTGGTACAATTGATACAGGTGAGGGCCAATAATCTGCCGTCTTTTCTACTAATGTAAGTGTTAAAAAACCTAATATTATTGATATCTCTCTTAAATATTAATTGTGTGTGCATACCATCATAAAATTAAGATGTTATTTTTACTACAACGTACTATTGTGTCGGAAAAAGTGTAGTTTGGGGGGTCGGCCCAGTCTCTATTTCAATTAATCCCAAATGTTCTGTTATTTCGTTTACGCGTTTCTCGTTTTACGCGGACCTCCACGGGTTCAATTGACCGCGTAAATGAAAACTATACTGCATAACAAATGGAGAATCACTTCAACATAATCAAAATAGAAAGAATCCTTATTAATCACCAGTTTTATCATAATTAATTTTGTGGACAGCTTGGTTCCTTAATACAACGTAGATAAATGAAAAGAAAAAAGAAATGGAAAAATGTATACCTGGTAAAAAAAACTATGTTTACAGATCTTGTGCGAAAGACAATGACACCACGAATGAAGGTATTTGATAAAGGCACATGAGGCAAACTGTTACTCACCAATCATAATGTAACTAACTAATTTTATATTATGAATGAAGTAACTAAATTAGACCCACCACAGTAGGTACGAAATGTCTCACAATCACGCCTACCAACCCTAGTGAGACAACATGATTGTTCAGTTCCAAATTTATCTGCCCTCTCCTGAACGATATTTATTTTACTGAGTGTACGTGTTTTGAGAAAAAATTACCTTAGGATGGACCAGATGACTCTCCTCCAAATACTGTACTAAGTTTCAAGGTAACTTATATCAGATGAAATTTGTTCTCATATGTCCCATGTCATACCCATAGCACTCTACAGTATCCATTTTATGTAGTGTATAAAACCACATTTGACAAGGTTGCAACTAGTACATGTACCTTGATACAGTATTACTGTATTATGGGGGGTGGTCTCAAAAAACAATTGGCCCTATTTTGTTATACAGTGAAGCCTCTAATAACGACAGTAATGTGTCCTGCAATATTGCAGTGTAAGGTGAATCATCGTATCGTGAATCATTAATTACCATTAAAATAAAGCAATAATAATGAGATGCGTTCCAAAGTCTGACCTTTTCATATATTTTGTGTGACTTTTTACCCTCTTCCCCCAAACAATAAAATCAATGAAAAATGCAAACTACATTCATTAAATAATGATTATGAATATGCCTTATACAATATAAATAAATAATATTATGGTCACACAAGAGGAGGTGGGATGCCATTGTTGTTGTCAGTGTTTACACCCATAATGTCAGTTATCCATCTGTCAGTTGTCAGTGTTTACACCCATAATGTCAGTTATCCATCTGAAACTGAAGAAAATAAGACTGGTTGTTGTTGAAGTAAATAATGTTAAAAATATGTATGTTTTAATTAATGTTATTTAATGTACAGTAGAAGTAACCACTGATGGTAAAGAAAAAAAGTGAGAGACTGATAGTGGAATGCCAACGTATACAATCATGGAAACATAGTCATTTATCTTAAGAATATGTTCAAAAGACTCAGTATTGTTTATTACTGAATATGTATTTGATTGAATTAATGTTTATATATGCGAAATGAACATTACAATTCATTAATAATATGTAAAATATTAAAACACATTCGAGGAGACAAGACGGCATTGTTTTCGTTAGTGTTTACACCCATGACTGATTCTCCATATGAAACTGAAGAGAATAAGACCCTGGTTGTAGCTGTAGTGAACTTAATGTAATAAAATTGAATACCTGAATGTATGTTTTAAGTAATGTTATTTAATGTTAATAAATGGAACAATAGAAGTAGCTAACCATTAATGGTAAAGAAAAAAAGTGAGTGCGCAACGCCAACATATGTAAGTGCGTACATGTGAAAACATATTGTCATTTCTCTACATATGAATATGAAAGCAACGCTTATTTACTGTTCTTATATGTTTTAAATAATATTTACGAGTGTAAAACAAAAATTCTACTCACCAATGGTGGTAAAGTCTGAAACATAAGGACAGCCAAATGATGTGCGAGTTTTTACTCAGATGACAAAGTCATCAGGTTCAACTCTGGTTGAAGCTGTAGCATTCCATAAAGATATCATAACTGTTACTGAACCTGAAGTTGTTGCTGATGCTGAAGTTGATGGTTTAGGCCTTTGAACAATAAAGCTGCACAGCTGCTTTCTTTTCTCATTATACAGTGGGGTATGCCATAACGAATCTAATTGGTTCTAGAACCTTGTTCGTCATAGGATTAATCCGTTCCAGGCCCCCAAATACAACCACTTAACACTGAAAAATATAATATAAATTTGTAAAAATTGTAAAAAAGTGCATAAATATGCATCTAAACCCCTGAAATAAAGAATATTAATACTTGTAATAAAAAAAACAATAAATTAGTAAAAAAAAAAATTCGTTGTTGGAGTTTTGTTCATTATAGCATTCTCAATTTTATAGGTAAACCCATTTGTTATAGGAATATTCGTAGTAGAATCCATTCGTTATAGCATACCCCACTGTACATCTTTATGTAGAGGTCATTTGCGTTTATTTAAATTTTAATGCTGTGTTCTGTTAATGGATCCACTCAAGAAAATATGTTCATTGCTTGCTCCATATAATATCCACAGACGTCTCACCTTTTTCATATCATTTTAACACATCTAGTTTCTCGGATAAGCTTATACACCTTCTTATAGCTTTTGAACCAGCACTACCATCGCTTGTTCTCTTGCTCATGGTGAATAGGGATTAAAAAATGCTGTAAGAAACCTGAATGTTTTTCTCCTTTTCCTGTTCAGATGCGTAAAAAGAAAGGGCCCGCCAGCTGTGACTGTTTATACTAGTGATGCTGGTGTCACCACTCACAAGCCCGGCAGCCTCCGTGCGCGAGGCATGTTATTTTTTTAATTTATATAATATATGTCGTGATTTAGTTATTATTTATATGAAAATTTAATTTATTTTGTTTTTTATTCTATTTTTGTGGTAAATATGAAGAAAATAACTGAAAATTGAATTGGGTCCTAAATTAACCAGGGTCTTAAATATGAATTGTCGTCAGTAGAACCGTCGTTATTGGAGGCTTTCCTGTACTGTACAGTGGGGTATGCTATAACGAACGGATCCTACTACGAATATTCCTATAACGAACGGTTTTACCTATAAAATTGAGAATGCTATAACGAACGCAACTCCTACAACGAACGCGGATGAATACCGGACTATTTCGCCTGGCGCATGAATATTGTTGTACCGCGACCCACAACAAGAGCGTCAGGCGCCATCTTTGTCTCATTGTGTAGCCAGTGCACCACTGTTATTGTTGAAATTTCGTCTTTTGATGTGGAAATTCGCGTTATTTGTATAACTATTTTGTTATACAAGTATACAATTGTAACAATGAGTCGTCCAAAGCGAGTGAGAAAGCTAATAACCCTTGAAACTAAGAAAGAAATTATAAAGAAACGTGAGAATGGAAGAAGCATTGCGAAACTTAGTGATGAATATGGGATGGCTAAATCGACTATATGTACAATTTTGAAGAATAAAGAGGAGTTAAAAACTGTGCAAGTGGCTAAGGGAATCTTTAGACTTAGCAAAGCAAGGTGTAATGTGATTGAAGAGATGGAAAATTTACTCTTAGTGTGGATAAAGGAGAAAGAAATGGCAGGTGATAGCATTAGTGAAGCTATAATTTGTGAGAAGGCTAAACAATTGTTTGAGGACCTTAAAGCCAAGACTCCCAGTGGAAGTGATAGTGATGTGCCAGTGTTTAGGGGTACCTGCATGCTGAATAACACTAAGGTAAGATAGAGTACCGTATTTTTTACATTTTCCACAGAATTTTTTCAGTGTTAAGCGGTTTTATTTGGGGGCCTGGAACGGATTAATCCTATAACGAACGAGGTTCTGGAACCAATTACGTTCGTTATAGCATACCCCACTGTAGTTGTATTTTATAGAAAGTGAAGATTTGTATGCACTTTAATTACATGCATTGATGCACTTATATACTGTATTGTATTATTTTGTGTTATTAATTTAAAAGGAGAAACCATCATTCTTTATTTTTCCAGCAAGGTTTTCACCAGAGGATAAATATTCACAGCATCGAGTATTGATCAAGAAAAGGTTTGGACTACTGCTCACCCAGCAACCACCAGTTGCTTACTAGTCCTCAAGGGACTTGTGACCAAATAGATTCCACAAGATCATCTTCAAATGTTATGGGTGTTATGTGCTACTGACTCACTAAAATTTGGAGTGTGATACATTTGTTTGAAATTCTCAGTACAGTACAGTATAATATACAGTATTTACACTAGACAAGCAAGCATATTGTAGAATTGGGTGAATATCATTTTTTTTTTTTTTAGCAGTGTGTATACAGCTTATTCAGATTTTATTGTTGGGTACTTTTGAAATATATACTGTACTTGTAAATTGAAAAGAGAGAGAATGTTGTAATTTTCTTAGTTACATAATAATGTAATATTCTTTGTCACATGTGCTGCTACCTTCAATATTATAAATTGTTTTATTATATTATTTTTATCATTGACCCTTACTCTATTCTCATAGACAAACTTATTTTGAGTGCTGGGTAATGCAGCACTAAGGAGGTATTTTTAGTGAAATTCTATTTTTACCACCCTTTGTACAATAATTACAATTGTACTGCTAAATATGGTATTTGATATCAAGAACTTTAAAATTTGTATGTAATGCTGAAAACTCGTATCTTATCATTCTTGGTACCATATACCACAGTACAGCAGGGAGATTATTGCAGTACAATACACTATATACAGTCACCCCAAAAACTATCTTCACAAAATTTTGTTGGGAAATTGATGCAACGAACAAAAGATTTTGACTATACGCACTTTACCAACTTGGCATAGTTCTGCAAGTTCCTACATCAAAATATCGATCATGCACTCCCTCATAGTACTGACCCACAAAGCTTCTGCACTTGTTTCTATTTCATCTCGCCCCATATATGATGATGGTAGTTCAGAACAAATCCTGCCAAAACTGTGGTAGAGGCCCAGAGAACCTTAAACATAAGGGAACTAGGTTAATTCAAAGCTTAACTTATACAGTACCCAAAAACTTTGGGTACTGTCTTAAAAGCTGCAGTCATCAATGAAGTCTGATGAGCTGTCTTACAGTAATTCTATAATCCATTCATTACTTATTTAGCTGTAAAGCAGGCATATAGCAGACAATGGGCCAAAGCCATTGGAATGTCACAAAGCCAAGGCAGCCATTAAACCCTTTAGGAAGCAGCTGAACACTTCAGTATTTTATTCTGGCTAATGGCAGAAGTTTTATTCAGTTGAGGAAAACCCCTGCCCTATAAAGGGTTAAGAGCCTATCTCAATTAAGCCTTCAGCCTTGTGTTTCACTCTAGAGTGTACCACTCATCGACTCTCCATTCTTTGTACGATTTTTGGTACACAACTTTAAATTCATGGTGCTTAATACCAATCGTCAAAAGACAGTGATGGTGCGTTTTTCAGTAAATCAGGCGAAGACAATAATAGCAGTTAAAGAGTTAGTCTCCATGAAACCTTAACGCCATTACTTACATGATTTAGTGTACTGTATTATACAGGTATACCTTATATGTTGATGAATATACATATGATATACTGTACTAAGTTGCAGCTAAGGAGGTTGAATGGATGGAGGTGACATCTGCCGTGTATGCAACAGAGGCATGTGAAGCCAGGCAGCCCGCCCACTGCCATTTTGGTCAGGGCAACATGCCCGCAGCTACTCACGAGCAAATGGTGGTTACAGATAATGATGTAGGATTTATGCTATTCTTTTATTTATTGTGCACATTATAGTGAGATTAATCAAGGAGGTTGAAATCACTGAGCGAGAAGTACTACCATATTGGCCAAGGCATCAGTCACAGTCAGTGACTTCGCTTGAGGTAACAGGTGCCGCCTCCATTTATTCAACCTCCTTGGTTGCAGCAAGGCTTTGAGAGAAGCTGATTGTTCTTGGGATAAATTTTGACTATCCCTATAGAGTTACCTATCGTAGTCTCGACCCCATAAATTGGGTTAGGGTGGTTAGTCTTTAGGTGAAATAAACTGGGATGGAAATTCTTAATGTGGCCCAAAAAAGTTGCTTATTAATAAAAATTTACCTTTCTATTTTTGTTTTGTTCTTTATTAAATTCATTCATTCATTTCTCTTTCACTTATTTTGTTCAGTGCTTAAGACAAATCAGTTATGTAAAAAATCTACAAAACATTCGTGATGATAATTATATAAACATGGTAACTTACAGTCACAAATTACAAAGAAGCATTGCAACGAATCATGTTAAGATTTTCAAAGATGCAGTTGCTCAGCTGGCATCTCTCAGGTTGGAAGATTTTCCCAGCAATGCTGGGAGACAGAGATGGTACTTGCCCAAGGTTCAGGTTAGGTCATTGTGAGAATAGACCAATAGAAATAGGAGGGATCAGCTGTGATGTCAATGGGACTGTAGCACACCTGGGCAGGTCAAGTCATTTTGAGCACAGAAAAGACTGGTATCAGCTTGGCTGTGACGTCACAATATGGTCAGTGTGTGTGTGTATAGAAGAAAATATGAAGCTAGGACTGTGGCTTCAAAGCTGAAGCTGGTGTCATAGCCAATGCCATACCTCTGGCTTCAAAGCCAAAGCTTTAGAACGTTTCAAAGCGAAGCCCAAAATATGGCATCCAAAAGCCGAAGCCAGCTTTCAGCCCCATGCCTGGCATATACAGTAGATGAGTTATATAGTACCTGTAATATAAAAAAGCAACAAAATGTTCTTCAACTGTTTTGGATGATATACATAAAGACCGACATATTAAAAGTTTACCACAATAACACCACGGGGAAAGTGATAAAGCATTGCCGAATTCAGATGGCGTCTTATGCCTTCAAAGAGCACCAAACCAACTGTTATAACATTTATGGCTCAATTATAAAAAGCTTGGCACAAATACCAGAAAATTGGCATTGTCTCTACTCCAGAGACAATGCCAATTTTCTTGAATAGTGTCACTGTGACGTGAGAATTCAATATGGCTGATGACTTTTATTATCTCACAGTGAAAGTTATGTATGTTCTTTGTTTATATGATCACAAAATGGCATTGATTGGTGATTAGTTATGTTTGATAGATGTGAAAGCCTTTTTATAACTTTAACCTTTCTGGAAGTTTACCTTATAATTTTGAATTATGCTTTTGGTATCTTGATCTGCATGTTGTTCATCAAGGAAGCAAGTAACCATGTCCATCTTCTGTACATTTTCTACCATTGATTGATTTGTACCCTGGAGACAAGACCTGCATATTTTCCACTCCAAAATACTTGAGCAGAATTGCCAGAGCACAATGTCTCTGCTGTAATAACCTTTTACTAGCTATTGCTTTGGAAGGCATCTGAGATCATCAGTGAGATACCTGATCATTGTTGCTTGAGTGATGTTGTATTGTTACTAGGGTGTTTTTCATACATTGATGACTCTCTCAGCAGTAGGAATGGAAGGAACTGGACTAACCCCTTTGCTCAGAGTGGCCAATATGGTCACCAAACACTGTATCAGAGTGGATGGGTGAGGGAGGGGGTGTGTGTGAATGCACACTCCCATCACTCAGCTCGCAGCCTACCATCCACGATGTGGAGGTCAGTAGAACAGGCTGGCCACTCAGAGAAAGAGGTAAGAAAAAGATAAATACAGTAAGCTCAATATTTGCCGCAACACAAGAGAGAAGAAAAAAATCTGACTAGGTCTAGTGAAATATTGTGTCTTAGAAGAATGCTTGTGCCCATTCATACTGTCAGAGAGATTTAAGGATGTACCAGGTACATCCTTCTGGTGTGATGCTTGGTGTAAGAGGACATACCAGGCAAGTCCCTCTTACTTGAATGGTTAAAAAATATCCTAGAGGCACTATATGGTGAAAATGCCATAGTACCCATGCTCACAGAGAAATTGTTCAGAGAGCATTATATGGGCATCTCCTTGGAGATAAATGGCACTTCTTGATGAGCCTAAAGGATTGTATACTTCATTGTTATGTTGTAAGATTGATAAAGACAATCTAATCTGCTCTGATTCTTTAACTAAGATAGAACTAGCAGCCAAGATAATGAAGTTAAGAGTTATCAGATCAATCAAAATTAAACTGTGGCTCAATTATCAGAAGATGTTGATTGTGGCCTGTACGGTGGTAATGTTTGACTGCACTGGAATAGGCACCTCCATGCTATTTCTGACTGCTTACCCATACTGTATTTCCTGCTGCTGGACACAAATTATCTGAAATAAATATACAGTACAGTTGAGTCTGGATTTACGCGGTTTTCGTTTACGCAGTGCCTTGCCAGAATTGAGATGCTTGATTTACGCGGTAAATTTGGTCATTTACGAGGAGAGCAGCTGGCGGTCCTGCCGTGCTGTGCAATTTTTGGATTCAAACCTCCCGCCATGTTTGGGTAAGCGGCGCGAGTAGGTTGCGCAGTGTATGTCTCTGTTGCATTATCGGTGAAGTCATATGACGTATCAGACTGTGATTGGGCCACGCATCCTGACCTCATTCCGCCACTAGCTGTGATTGGTTTAATGTAATGTGACATGCCCTGCCACGGGAGGGAAGAAGGCGCTTGACCTAGCCTCGTCAGTTACGATCCTCCCAGTCACCCCGTGTATACTGTGTTCTATTGTTCGGATAATCTCGCTAATCTCGTAAGAATGGCTTCCACTGGACCCCCACCACCACAGAAAAACCTTGCATTACCTGGACCCAGCCGTCCTAAGCCAACGAAGATACGACGTGCCCTAAGTTACGAGGTGAAGTACAAGATAATACAAGAGTTAGAAAAAGGAACGAGACAGGTTGGTCTCGCGCGCCAGCATGGTGTTAACGAATCTAAGATCCGGACGATCAAGAAGGATGCAGCCAAGATAAAAGAACACATGAACATCGCAAAGTCTGCAGGTGCTTCAATGGTGAAGTACTGCCAGAACAAGGTGCTTCTCAAGACGGAGAATTTACTTGTGAGCTACTTGATTCGTCAGGCAAGACAGAACATGGCGGTGGACACGCGGTTGGTTCAAGAGTACGCACGTGAACTGTACGTAGCAGTGGCACGTAAGATGGGAATTGCAGAGCCCAAACCCTTCAATGCTTCCTCTGGGTGGCTGCAAGGGTTTAAGAAGAGGAACAAGATCACCAACATTAACATTGGTGGTGAAGGAGCGAGTGCTGACTGTGTTGCGGCTAGTGATTTTCCTCCGTTCTTACGTGACGTTATGGAGGAAGGACAGTACACCGACGACCAGGTGTTCAACATGGATGAATCCGGTCTGTTTTGGAAAAAGCTACCTTCCAAGACCTTTGTTGTCAAGTCTGCCAACGAGTGTCAGGGCCGGAAGTTGCAAAAGGAGCGCATCACCGTCCTGTTTACCACCAATGCCTCCGGTACCCGTAAACTCAAGTTATCGGTGATCCACACAGCCCGCAAGCCGCACGCCTACAAGAAC